TGGCTCATCCACCGGCTGTATTTATTGGAAATTCCTTGGCCAAGTTTAGCCGGGCCAAGCACAATTGAACAATAATGCGACAGCCTCATTAAATGCTCTTAGCAATGGCGGCAGCGGCAAACAAAGACAAGGACTACAACGACGGCAAACAGGATCGTAAGCCGAAAGAGGGAAAGGTCGAACTTTGCAGTGCTTTGGTTGTTTAGAGCTGCTTTTGTGCCTTCATTGTTCGACAATAAAAAGCTGTTGTTCATTTTTATGGAGTAACGCCTTGTGCCGCCTTGGCCAGGATCCTTACGGCTTGAAGGCAGTCGTCGCCGTCGTCGTCGTCGTCCTCGTCATTGTCCTGCCGTTGTCGCCTGCCATTATTGTGATACGACGACAAAAACAAGAGAGGAAACAGAGGCAACAACAGGGCACTTGCCTGGGAGTGACGACCGCCACTGGAGTGCGTGTGTGGCTGCACAGAGAGAAATTTAAGTAGGACCATTATGTCAAATATCGTGAAAGTCTAGGACACCTTTTACCCACTTAGTAAAGTTGTTTCTCCAGTGTGCGGTTATGTGGGCGGATGACGCCCATAATGAGTCTGCGTGGCAAGTACAAAAGTTTATAAATATGATGGAATAATTAAAACTTGGCGCCAATTTGAAGGCGCTCTCCCACAAGTCGGAGGTGGCCAAAAGGCTGTCAGCGACAACAACAGCCTAGGCGGGAGGAACACCCACAACAGCACAAGGCAGCCCCGTGTCACTCCAAGCTCCTGCCCCCGGGTCCTGGCTTTTGGCATTGTTTGCCTTTGGCACCGCTTGCCCTTTGGGAGCGGTTCTTTGAGCCTGCCCGGCCACAATTTTTGTATTTCTTGTTATTTTTTGTCGGGCTGTGTTCTTCGAAAAGGATGTGAGAATTTGTATGCTTTATGTTTTGCAGATGCTTAGAAAAGTTTTTGTTTTGTTTTTCTTTTTCAAGCTTTAACTTTGTTTTGGCTACCTTTACCCCCCCAGCCCTTATATTGGGGGCTTTTTTTCTTGCCAGTGTTAATTATGCAACATTAATTAAGGCCTGATGTAGATATGGGCTTTAAGCAGGACACGGTTGTTGAGAGAGCTTTAAGAGAGAAAGGAGTCGCACCACTGACTCCTCCACTTTGGCCATTCAGCCAGGTGTTGGGCTACACACTCCTCCGCCATTCGCCTCCGCCATTCAAAACGTCGAGCTTCGTTCCTGAGCACCAGGAACGGAACCATAATTATGTGCACATTTATCAAAGCCCGGTGAAGTCGCAGCAGAAGCAGGCCACTCAGCCGGGTTTATTTGCAGACTCCGTCCGGAGACAGGAGACTAGAGACTGGAGACACGGAAATGCGCCTGGCATTTTTGGTTCAATGAACCTCAATGACAGCAGGACGAGATTCCCGGCAATCTCTTCAGCGCATCGCTTAAACTTTAAGTTGGCAAAACGAAATCCCCCACACTCCGCCGCCGCTGTCGGCTGGCAATAAAAACGTTGAAAAGTTTGCCACGGGAGCAGAAGAGTTACGGGACTTTTCGGGGCAACATGAAACATATTTCGCACTCGTTGGATGCCCGTAACACATGTTGTTGGCTCAGCCAGTTTAATGGCCACCAAGGTGAGCCCCGAATGGAGAGCCACTGCTGGTCTGCTCTTCAATTTGTTTGAATTTGTTTTCCTTTTTTGTGGTATGGTGTGGTATGGGTGGCATAGAGGCCAAAAGGAGAAAAGTTTACAAAAATAATCCCGGCAAAGAACACGAAGTAAGCTGGCAAGAAGAACTTGTCCTGTCTCTACGGTCGGTCGCCGGCTGGACTTGTGTGTGGTGCGGGGGTGTGTAGGTGTTGCTGCTGGATCTATGTTGTAAATCCTTTTTCTTAGAAATTGTTGCTGCTACGTATTTTGTGACACGGCCAGGCGTGCCATGATGAATGAGGGAGGCTCTGGGCTTGGGACTCTTGGCTCTCGGAATTTTCCCTTTGCCCTTTTGAGAAATGCAACCCTCTGTTAGACATGTCAATTTCCAGCCTGATGCATCGCACAAGAGAAAAATTGCGAAATGGTATGGCAGTCGGAGGAGAGTGGGTCCTTGGATTCAGATTCGGGCCGGGTTTGGGTTAAGGGAAAACTCAAAATACGCCAAACGAATTGCGTCGCTGAAAAGCCAAAGATTTTCATCCAATTTGCAAAAGTGGCGGCCTGAGTCTCGAATACGCATACGCCCCGTGGGCCACGCAGTTCGATGTGACACGTGAGCCTACACTGCGAATCGTAACTTGTCTACCGCCTGTCTCTCTCGATACCTCAAATCGGGATATTTTCCCGCCGTGTAGTGGCAGTGGCTGGGGGACATGTGTTGGCAACGTGCCTGCCGGCAAGTCAAACATTACGACATTACGCGCTTTCCAATTCACCTGTGAAAATCATTTTCCTTGAAGTCCTGGCCCCAAAAACAACGGGGCGGAATTTTTGGCGAATTTGCCTTGTCAAATGTTGAAGGATACGTGACAAGCATTAGCTACAGCTACAACCTGCCACCTTTCTTTCCAACCTGTGCCTCGATAATGCCGATGTCGCTGCATGTCTTCATGATGCCTGAACGGCGAACAAAAAAAAAACAAAAACGATGGAGGACGGGTGAGAATTCCATCTCGTGCCTTTCTCCTGTGTAGTTTGGCATATCATTTCGTCGCCAATTTGAAAATCGTTGATATGCATGCTACACAGGCAGGTGACGACCTCAAGAGGTGTAAACATAGAGCGGGCCAAAAGGGGAAGCAAATCAAATTGGTTACAGGGCAGGGTGTTCACGTACCTGCCATGTATATAGTACATACATATGTTTAAAAAGTACAACCAAAAAATGGTTTGCACAAAGTGCTTTCCAATGTTTTTTGACATTCGAACCGAAAAGCCCAACTCTTCTAGCTGCTCCTCATCCTTAACTGACTAACTAACTGCCCTGAAAATCAAATATTTGCCCAACGGAAGGAGCAATATGTAAATGGAAACTGAATATTCGGAAATTAAATGCGTTTACCCGAAGTCGAATCAGGAATTACGACAAATAAAACTACAATTGATTCGCATTTACATTTCATTGAGTAAATTGCACAATTGCAAATGGCATTGGAATTTGATGCGAAGATGGCGATGGCGATGGGGAAAAGGGGGGATATTGCCGGTTTAGATGGAACGCCAAAAGACTCTGAATACTCTAAATAAATGGCATAACATTTTCTCCATTTCTCCATTTGATCTCGCATGAGAGCACTTTGCCATCCTGCTGTGCCCCTGCTCCCCTGCTCGAGGAGGGCTTGAAAAATCACATAAAAATACAGTGAGACAGACAGGAAAACTCTCTGGGCGCTTGTTGTTGTTGCTCCTTCGGCAACAAACAACAGGAGCAGCAACATCTTGGATTTTTATGGCCATATATTCGAACTTATGGCTGGCAGTGCAAAAAAATAACAAAAACGAAAACATTTCCTTGACTTTACTTTATGCTCACAATCACAAATTGTTTCTCAAATGAACAATTTTAAAATTTCACATTCAATAAATTGCTCCTGGGATGCCAACAAATTGCTGAGGGGTCTGAGTTTCCCAGTTGTTGCTGTTACTGTTGCTACAGTAAATGAAAAAAGTTTTTTTGTCAATTGAGTCTTATTATTAGCATTATCACTTCTGGCTACACGCATCATCTATCGGTGTCGAATCATAAAATACCCTTGTGGGAAAAGTTTCCCATTGAATTTCCAAGTAAATTTCAAGACGGGAAAAATTGTTTCAATTTCTAGAATCTAGATACGGGCGTCTCATTTTGTATTCGGGGAATGGCCATAAAATGGTCCTGGAAAATCCCTCCCGAAAGTGCAAGTACTTTCCAAAGTGAAAGTGTAGTTAAAGTAAAATGCAAATGATTCTTGATTCCGGTGAAGCGCAAATGGCGTCGAAATTGAAAATCAAGATGACTTCTTTCTAGGAGAATAGGGAGCGCGGCGCCATGAATACCAAGAGATACCAAATACAGGTATTCCAGGTGCGAGGGCGTGCGTGTTAGTGCGTCGGTTTTCTTAGACATTTCGATTACTTTTTGAGTGGTTCCACTAAGGTTTTCTTTTCTTTATCCCCAAATTGCTGCATCCGCAAGGCTCGGGTTTTGGGGATCTGGGGTCCGGATCTCATGAAATATGTAGAGCAGTAATACCTGTTTGGGGGACCACACAAAAGGCAGCGCAAATTACTGAAATATGCATGCGACTCGCCATGGCCATTATCGTGGACTTCCTCTTTTTTCCAGACCAGACCAGGACAGGACAGTCGAGCCAGTATCGGGACAGGAGCATTGTGACTACGTGCCGGGAATACCCAAAAAGATTGCCCCGGCCGGACACTCATTTTGGCTATGGCATTGGCCACGACCATGTCAATGGCATTCAGTTTGTGGCATTTGTGGTTTTTGAAACTGCACGCATTTGATTGCGTTATTGAAATTGACTGGGACCGGGCTTCATTACTATAATGTTGTGGGGGTGGCTGGAACGGGGGCTTACGCTGTAGAGCTGATGGTAGTAGATGGTAGGCATTGGGTGCTCGAGGAATTCAATTATAAATGCCTGCAGATTCCAGGTCTGCCTTGGCTTATGAATATAAATCTGTTGGCTGTGCGGTAGCTTCGACTTAATTGCCGTCGGCCTAGACGAGGCTTGGTAGGTTGGCTAAGACGCGCAGGTAAGACAGGGGAGGGCGGGTTTTGTAATTATTTACTTGATGATGTCGCCCCGGGGAAGGTAAAATTAAATGGGGATTATGTGAGCTTTTTAATTAACTCGAGCCAAGAAAATTCTCCAGCTCTGCCGGAATGAAATTTAAATTTAGACCGTTCCATTGCGGTTATGTGATCGATAATAACGCCGCCGCTGTTATCGGTGGGTGGTGCTTATCACTTATCACTGAACCGGTTCGCTTGTGCGGCATCCCTGGCGGCAACCAGCTGTTGCTATCAGTCGTTCTGATTGGCAGGTGCAAATTGCTTGTTATTAGCTTAATTCTACAGTTTATTATTATTCAACAACATGGCTCTGAGACGTTGTCACTTAAATCCGAAGAAGACCCTCTTCCTGCTGTGCGACATTCAGGAAAAGTTTCGTCCTGCCATGCCGCTGTTCGACAATATGGTCAAGAACGCTGATAAATTGGTAATTGAACTTTGATTATTGATCTCTTATCTACCCAAGGGTAAAACTAATCCAAATCCTAATCTGACAGACCAAGGCGGGCAAGGCGCTGGATGTCCCACTGATTGTGACCGAACACTATCCAGAAAAACTGGGAAAAACCGTGGAGCAGTTGGACATTAGCCATGCGAAACTGGTGTCCGGAAAAACTTATTTCAGCATGTTTACTCCAGAAGTGAAGGCTGCAATCAAGGAATTGTTTAACGACAAGCCGGAAGATGTGGTTTTGTACGGCCTTGAGGTGAGTTACGGTTTAAAATATATGGTTTTCGATCATAAAGTCTATAATTACCTTTCCCCGAACAGTCCCACATTTGCGTGGAGCAAACTGCCATCGATTTTCTGCAACAGAACATCAACGTCTACATCGTGGCAGACTGTTGCTCCTCTCGCCTGAACCAGGACCGAGACTTGGCCTTGGATCGGCTGCGCCAGGCTGGATGCGTGATCACCACCAGTGAGAGTGTTATCTTTGACTTGGTTCGCGACAAAAACAATCCCAAGTTCGATGCTATTCGGAAACTGGTCAGCCCGCCCTCGGTGGACATGAAGCTCACCCGCCAGCCCTCCGATTCGGATGTGGGCAGCTCCAAGCTGTGAGGCAATCTGTTTGCTTGTGTGTGTGTATGACTTTGTGATGATGCCAATTGCATTTATATAACCATCAAGCTGAAAAGTGTTTTTCAAGGATAAGCGGATGGGGCTGGGGAAATGGGGCAAATGGGAGCAGCACCCATTTAAGTTGTCATTTCCGTAACATATTCCAACGACAGTCATTTGTGCCCCGACAATGGGCGAGTCCATATTTGAATTTAACAGTTAACAATAGCTCGGAATGGCTGCCTTTCCGGAGCGCCCCTTCGGCCCAACGTCCCGGCCCATTTCCGCTTGGGTCCTTATTATGCGGATGACAATGCGTATTTTATGTACAGCCACTCCCACTTCCACTTCTACGCCCCCTTCTACGGGGCACTTTCCATTTTCCATTGATTATAAGCCACAAACAGCAGAGCATTGCGTCGTAACCTTTTATTTGTATAATGGGGAATGCGAAAAGGAAATCATCGACGCAGTTGCAGGAGTGGTACCCATTGAGCCGTTTAGTGGAGGCGATGGCCATGGGGATTGGCCGTAGGGTGCACTGGACGTGGGGGCTGGGGGTGCACTGGGTGGGATCGAACCGGCTGAGGATGAACTGGTCGTGGCGGCTGATGCTGAACTGGATGCACTGGACGTGGCGGCTGGTGCTGCACTGGATGGGAGCGAACCGGATGAACTGGTCGTGGAGGCTGGTGATGAACAGGCTGTGGCGCCGAGTGGGGATGAACAGAGCGTGGCTCCCAACGAGGATGGCTGTCGATGTAGGCGAGGGCCTTCAGGATTGCCTCGGGAGTGGGCGGGGGAGTGGGAAGAAGATCACCATGGGGATGGTAGCCATTCTCATCGGCCGTGTACGACACCTTCACGGGCTGACCCTCCTTCGAGGTGAAGTGATACTCTCCCTTAACCTGGTGCTCGTCTCCGGCTTCGTCGGCTCCAATTCCATTGGTGATGTCAAAGCCATAGGAGAACTTGCCATGTCCATCCTCCTTCTTGAACTGATTCGCGACGTGGGCGTGGGCATCGTCGTCGCTGGCCGCACAGGCACCAATCACCAGGAAAATGGCCAACTGGGAAAGGATACGGTAAGCAAGCTGGATAGACACTTCAGAATACAACTCACGTATTGGAACATTCTGTAAATGTTTAACAAACTCAACTGTTGACCAGAGAATTCTGGCCAAAGGCTTAAATACTCAGGAGATCAATATGTAACCCGACCCGATTCCCCAATTCCTGTGTAACCAGTTGGAGGTGATGAGCCCGCTAATTTGTCCCCCGATCCACCTGGGTGAGGTCGTAAATTATGTGGATCACAAAGCCGAAAACGTTTAATTGTAAAAACACTCCAGTCCACATTCATTGCACGCATTATGACAAACAAAACGATAATATATACAACAAAAATGTACTTAAGCTTTAATATATTATATAGTCAAGGTCACGCGATCAGTTAATCTGGGGATGGAAGCCAGTGGCATCTGCTGTGTACGTCACCCTAACCAGCTTTCCATCTTCTCCGGGCAAAAAGTATTCGCCCTGAATGCCATTTACATTGCCCTGAGCCTTGATTGAGATACCGTTGGTAACTTCAACCTCGTGCTTGAACTGTCCGGCTCCGTCCAGGTTCTGGAGGTTTTCTAGCTTCACAAGCTGTGCCTCCCGATCATCCTCAGTGCAGCTGGCCAGAACCACTAGCATAGCAAAGATTACAGCCTGAATAGAAATAGAATTTGGGATAAATTCGAATATAAATCGATTGCCGGAACTCACGTATTTCAGCATTTTGTAGAGCAGCAAATAGATGTGTATCAATGAGTCCCACTGGCAGTCCGTCCGTCTTTTATACTGCCATAAAGTTGCCCCACTCACTAAACGGGTTTCAATCGCATCTGCTAATGACTAAGATTAACCAGACAGCCATGAATATGAAATTTGCGGCGGCTCAATAGCTTGTCTGTTTCTGGCAGTAGCCGGCCAGCCTCCTCCCCCAAATAACTAATTTGCCTTTCGGCTTATCAATTTCACAACTAACGTTAACTTTAATTAATACAATTCAATGTTTCTGCTTTCGATGGAAAGCCTGATGCACGGGCTTCTCCTTGTTCCTTAGCTCAGAGCTGCCCATGATCTTGGCCACCCCCTTAAAGTAGTTGGGCATGTTACTCTTTCTAGTTAGTTTACTTGGCACCAGCGAGGGATAGTTCTGGGATACTTCCTTAGAAACTGAGATATCTATGGGTTCGTTGTACAGCAGGGAGCCCTGTTGAGCCCGCTTGCTGTTGAACTTGTCCAGATACTTCATTGCTCCCTGGCGAGCTGAGTGCTTGATGGAATCCATGTCCCAAGTCACATCCAGCTTGGATTTGATTTCATTGGATACATTTTCATCGTTTGTTGAGAACAAGTTTTGAAACATTTGTTTCAATTCATTATCTCGCACATTTTCGAAGGACCTCGCTGGACGTAGACTGTCAGAATCCAATAATTTCGTCTCTTTAACGGTGACAGTTTCCGGAGCCACTCCTTGAACCTTTGATTCCGAAATTTTGGCTTTTATCACTGGGCCGTTTTCTTGGACACTTGCTGCCTGCCGCTTAAACTCCAGGGAGTCTTTATTTGATTCCTTTATTGGCACCAGCAAGTCTAAATTACCCTGCAGCTGTTCGAAATCCATCTCGGGTGCCTCCTGCATGTCGTTTGGCAGGTACCCGCGACTTTTCAGGTAAACAATTGGTGACTGCCAGCTGCCGATTAGGTCCTTCACGATTGTGTCTACAGAGTTTTCATATTTAACAACTTTTAAATTATCATCAGCCGCGGTCATAGAAATCAGAACAAAGTATAAAATATAAGAATACATTTTTAAGCTTATTTTTTGAAAATTCAAAATAAGAGCCTGCTATCGAAAGTTTTGTAACGGTCGAACTATCGATAGACCTGAGTGACATCTGCGACGATTGTGTGGCCCTGGAACCAAACAGCTGTTGTGTTGTATCAAACGTAAATTTTGGATGCAAATATTAATTATTTGCGGTTTTTATATTTAGTCTAACTGATTACAGATTTTGGAAAGAACTTCAAAGATTGTGACTCAACAATGGTCATTACCAACAACACAACACTGCCCGAGGAGGCGGATTTGGATGTCCAGGAGCTGAATCTGTCGTCGGCGGCTCTGCGAGCTGGTGCCTTTCATTTGGGCAAGCAATGCGAGACTGCTAATAATGTTAGTACCCCTGAAACGTATAAGGCTTAAGCCCACGTTGATATAGTACCTGAAAAGCAGCTTCAATTGGACTCTGAAGCTGTCCAGGATCGAAAATCCGGCGGCTCAAGTTATATAACCTAACCTCAAAACGTACCTTTCTGGGTTTGTTTACGTTTGTTTTTCATGTAATTTCAGGAGTTTATGTTATGCAGGCAAGAGCTGGACGATCCGCGAGCTTGCCTAGGTGAAGGAAAAGCGGTGACCAGCTGCGCCTTGGACTTTTTCCGGAAAGTGAAGAAGTCGTGCCATGAAGAGTTCATGCAGTACGCGACTTGCCTGGACAAGAGCAGTGGCACCATGGCCTTTTCACAGTAAGAACGGGATAATACAGACTACATATGACCTGAGGCTAATACAGTATTCATTTCAGCTGCCGCAAGACACAGGGAGTGTTCGATAAGTGCATGAAGGATAACTTTGATTGGGAACGTCCATCTTACGGTTACTTCTCCAGGGCCAAGGTAAGGTTGACGCTTTTAGAAGAGGACCCCTACTTATACATACTGCATTTTTAGGTAATCAAGTCAGCTCGTGATCCACCTAAGAAGGAGGAGAAGGTATCCTACCCCGACGCCACTCCCGGTCTGCCCGAGGATTATCCCAAGCCGCCAGCCAAGTACGGCGCCCGCTTCCACTGGCTGGAATAATCTGCTATTGCTTAGTGAAATTTGAAAGCGTTCATCTTAACATAAACTCTTGTTTCCATTAGTACTAAATGCTTTTTATTTATCGTATCTTTTTTCGTGACACAGTTTGCTTGATCTTATCCATAATGTCCAGATACTGGTTGTTTAGGCAGCAGCCGCAGTAGCTGACTGGGAAACAGGCGCTTCCTTCAATGCGGCGGTGTAGTGGCATGTTCTGGTAGAACACCCATGATATGTTCTCCTCGCCGAGTACCAGCATAATCTTGTCATAGCGACAGCCTTGCACGTTAAACAGATCCACGTCGCCGGTAATGATGCGCCACTCGGCATATCGGAGATTAACATTGGGAGGTAGCTTTGAACGTTCCCTCATCATAACATGTTCGAACCAATCGCGCACTTGGATGATGGATCCGGATGGGGGATGCTTCCTGATCTGGTAGCTGATGCGAGGGTACAGCGGATGACTATGGAGAAAGTTTAAATGAGATTTGGAACCACTTTGGACTTTTTATCTTTACTTACATATATGGCACATAAGCCAGGCGCACAAGAACAAATTCAACCTTTTCACGGGGAGCCATTTCGAATGTATAGACAATTTAGAGCGCTAGATGATACGCTTCACAGGCACTGCTTTGCAATACTGACTATCATTGTCAGATTCTGCGCCTATATATCCTCGACTTGGCAGGTAGAATCCCACCCAAGGCAGATGTCTGCAACATAATCCCTGGAAAAAAGTTTCTTTTTACCTGACAAAAACCCAACATTATTTTCACATTTACAGTTTTATTGCTAAAATGTCATTTCTTAATCTAATCGGGGAAAACTTTACTCAGTGTACCACTTTGTACGCTTGGGTTTTTTGACTTTGCCACTCGTAACACCCTTGACACCGCCGCCACCCTGATTTCCACTAATCATATTCTTGTACTTGTTGATTAGGGGTCGCAGGTCATCCTTCTCCTTTTTGCGACCCTGTTTGGGCCGGTTGTCAGCCTTTCTTTCGGCCAGGTGGGTCTCGCGGATCTTCTTGTTCTTCTGCTTGCGCTTCTCGGTTTTTACTCGCTTCAAATGCTCCTTCGCCTGCTCCACGATCTTCTTCTTGGATCGCATTTTTAACGAAGTGCCTGGCTTGGATGCTGTACCCACATAATCGCCCTGAACGTCACTTGGTTTCTTCTTATCCGTTTGCTTGCCCTCGGCCTTGGCTGCCCGAGTCGCCTCCAGTTTTTTAATGTGTTTCTGAAGCTTGGCCTTGTTATCGGTCTGGGGACCGATTGGTTTAGCTTTCTGGCCATTACGCTTCTGCTGACGCCGCTCCTTTCGCTGCTGTTGCTTGGCTTGGAAGGTGGGATTGTTTAGCTTGGAACGCTCGGTGCGCTTCTCCTTTATTTTGTGCACAGCCCGATCCTCGATACTGAAGGCCACAATTGGGCGCTAACGAAAATATAAAGATTTTAATGAAAACAAAAGTGAATATTTTTTAAAAATTAAACTTACATGCTGAGTTCCAAATACTTTTGGATTATTGTTTAACTTTCGGAGAGCCGCCAAAGCCCTCTGGTGCGTGTCAAATGACAGGAAACCAAAGCCTTTAGATTTGCCCTGCGGGTGCTCGGGAGTGATCTTCTGCTCGCGCATCACACGACACTCGTGGGGTCGGAATCCAGTATAGGTTTGTGCCATTTGTTTTAGCTTCTCGTTGTCGTAGTGCTGGGGCAGGTTGTGAATGGATAAGCGATTTCGAGACACAAATCTAAAAAAAGGTAAGAAGTTCTATATTAAATTCTTTTGAATAAAACTGCAGCCATACCTGTTCAAGTTCTTGAGCACCTGAGTCTTCACTTGTTCTAGTTCGTGGCGCTTCGCCATGTCGGAGGCGGACACCCCATCTGCTGCCTTGGATCCCGACATGATAAGACCTTCTCTCGCCAAATACAGGTTTCTGGAATCCTTGCCAGAGTCCTCTTTCTTTTCCTGCTCCGACTGCTTTGTCTTCATCTCATCGCGACTCAACGCTGGATGGGGATCCAATATCTCGTCCATGAGCTTGAATTCTGTGCCCGCCTGAAGGCAGAGATCGGCAGATTCCTTGGCCCTGAACTTAACAAATGCTGTGCCTTTGGAGTGACCAGAAACGGCCTGACGATTGATAATGGCATAGCTGACCACTCCGAACTTGCGGCACACCTTGCGCAGATCTGCATCCTCGGCATCAAAGGGTACGTTCTTGATGAAAACCGTGCAGCCTTCTTGCACGTCGTTGGAGATGACTTTTTCTTTTTTGACATTTTCAATTTTTAACTTGGATTTTAATTCGTCTTTGTCATCTTTTACATCCTCATCGCTTTCTGCTTCCTCTTCGGGACCCTCGCTATCATCCTCATCGTCATCATCCTCCTCATCATCACCACCATCGTCCTCATCCTCATCAGCGTCGGATTCTTCTTCGGAATTGTCTTCCTCATCTTTTACTTCCTCTTTGGAGTCCAGGTCAATGGTTTCTCCATTTTCTTCTTTGACCTCAACCTTGGGCTTTTTCTCCTCTGGTTCTTCACTCTTTGGATGCTTGGCCACGTACTCATCCTTACCCAGCGCCCAATCCACAAACACCTTCCGCCCCTGAAGCTCCTTTCCATTGGAGTGCAGTATTGCCTTGGTGGCCTGATTGATGGTCTCATACTGGACAAAGGCGCACCCGACCAACTTTCCATCGCCTCGCTTTAATATGTTCACGTCTTCTAGTGTTCCCCACTTCGCGAAGTGCTCTCGCAGTGACTCCTCTGTGGATTTGTAGCTAATGTTGCGGATGATAAGGCGCGCACGCTTTTTCTGGCGCCGCTCTTTCTCCTCCTTCAGGCGCTGTGTGTTGAAAGGATTTCTCCGCTTTCTGGGCTGTTCATCTGTCGATGTTTCAGCCACATTTTCGTCTTTTAAAGGTTTCATTTTTTTTAATTCCATCGCTGCACGTGGAGATTGGGTTGTTATGGTATCGATTAGCGATGACACTCTTTCGATAAGTCCGCGTTATCTTCACCGGCTGATTGTTTGTTTACAATTTGAAACTCAATGGAAATTATTTTTTTTTATAATTTATTAACAATTTACAACAATAAATAAAAAACGCCGACTATTGCTTAGTAGTGAACAGTTGGTGGAACTCTGAAGGCGTTTTGAAGTAGTCAATAAGCAACATGGAGGATCTGCTGCCCAACTTGTACATAATATGACTCCAAGGATTGAGGAAATTTTTGTATTCGGCTATTTGACCCTTCTCGAAGAAGTGCTTGACCGTGCCTAGAGGCAGCTGAGAGCCGTAAACAGCCACGTACCTAAAAATTAAATTGTATTATTAACTATTATTAAAATATTTATCCAAATAATGTACATACTTGTCTGAACTTTTGTATATCCGCAAGGGATACTTGGCCACAAAGGTGCGAATGGCCAGGTTAATCAAAACAAATCCAGCCAAAAAGTAGTATAAGTCAGACTCTTGAGAAACCAGTATGGCTATATCCATTTTCTGCACCACATTAACCACGTTCATAGTTGAGGCCCAATGATAGGCGGCAACCAATCCCAAAACGGAGGTGGTGGCTGTTGAAATATTCTTCGTCCAGGTCACATAGTTCTCGATGGGAGCACGGTAGATAAGTTGATAGTTTTCCGGGAGCTTGTCCCCATACAAAAGTTTTCTTTCCACTTCTCCCGAGGGCGGATTTTGCCACTTGTTGTAAGACTGACTTGTGCTGAATGAAAAGAGAGATTTAAACTAAATGGCCCTATAGAGAACTTATCTTCAAACTAACTGCAGGCTCTGCTGGAGCAAAGAACCCGATACGGGCCTTAATTTGACCAGTTTTATTCCTCTTAAAATAGCCGCACACATAATTGGTTTTATTTTGGTTAGTGGTGGACGGCTTGTTCTTGTAACGTTATGAATACATCCATTCGATTAACCGCAAAGTGTTGGTTAGCGCGCACTTAAACATCTGTTTCAGCATGGACGTAGGTAAATACTTTGTTATCAGTAAAGTTTGTGTATCAACAAAATTTTTTAAACGGAGTGATCTGTGGAAACGGATTGTCAAACCGATTTCGTAGTTGCCGGGCACCGGTACGTTTTCTATTCAGTCTACATTTACTTTCCGTAGGATAAACACAGCTGTGAGGAATAATATTTTTTCACATTAGATAGGAACACGAATAGGATAGATAGTCATATTTATATTTTTGATAATAAATATGGATTCGAAGCGCGCGGCACTTGAAACCGGCGACGGTCCGGATGCGAAACGCATGGACACTGCTGGAGATCACGGGAAATCTGAGCTGTTGCCGGGCGATGGCAATCAGATAGCACTTGGTAAGCATATTCAGCCCTATACGGGCAACGGATGCTCTCCATCATTGGAGTCCATCGTGATCCAGCCGGCCCCAGCCGGGAATCAGATACTTCCGTGGGCCACTGCAGAGTGCCAGACTTCCGAGAACGATCTTGATCTGGAGAAGAGCACCAGTGGCAACAAGAAGCGTGAGTTATCAACGGATTGGCCTTTCATACGAGACGCCCATTTATGGTGTTTCGGTTGGTGTTTCGTTTTAGCGGAAGCTGCCAATTCGAAGCTATCCCGTAGGGAACTCGCTAAGCTCCGCCGCGAGCATACCTTGAGAGCTCTGGCGTTGGAGCGCGATCTGACTGTTAAGCCAGGCCATGGACAACCGTCTGTGGCATTATTGATTCGCTTCCCGGACCCGGAGATCTCTATTCAAATGCTATCCGGGATATCCAAGGACATACGTGATGTGGTGCTACCCAACACTGTAGCGCCACGCTTCTGTCTGGTCCATTTGAAGCCCGGTGCCGATGTCGAGGGCACCATTGCTGAAATCAATAAGGTGCGTTTCGGCAGCGGCTTTCTACACGCCGAGCACAAGCCCTTCTCGGACGACGAGCAGGCCGAATTTATTGATCCCTGCTCGCTGTATGTGAGCAACATACCATTCAATATGGCAACCTCGGCCATCAAGGCCTACTTCACCAACGCCATGCGCGTGGACATAGGTGTCCTGAAGCGCGAGAAGCGCGCCCGCTACGCCTTTGTGCGCTATGCCACGCCTGAAGTCACCATGAACGCTTTCAGGGAGCTCGTCGGCAGTCCACTGAACAGCCGCACCCTGACCGTCCGCTACCGTCGCCTAAGGAAGCGAGCTGGCCTGCCAACCGTGCAGTGCACCAACTCCAATTTGACCATCACCACGCCAGTGGGCGACATTGACGACAATGCTGACTGCAAAGTCATATCTCCACCACCCGTGGAATCGATCACCATTAGCGATAGCGACAACTGCTCCGATTCGAGCGCTGATGCTGGTGGCAGACGCAGACGCAAGAACAAACTGACCGATCCCGAGAAAGAGATCCAAAATTTGAAGCGCCAGATGGCCGAATATGGATCAATCATTAGGAACTTACAAGTCAGACAAACTATAGGAGGTATGTTGCTAATTTATTTTTGACATATGTCAGTTGGACATATGAATCCGATATTCAAACATACACTTCAAACTTCAATCCAGACACTGACATTTACATTTTAAATTTTAAATACTTTTCAAGATTTATTCATAGCTAACATACCGGCCAAAGAGGAGCCGTGCGCGAATCCATCAGCTTTTATTCCTGTTCTAGGATCCAATGCGGTCCACCTAATGCGAGATATTAAAACTGAGCGTGCCTATCTAGGAATTCCTGATGAAGGCACTATTGAGCCAGAACCGGCTATTAAGCCCACCACCCAACCTGAAGAAGGCCACGCCGATGATCGAGTTAAAACTAAAAGTATTTTGAATTCCCATTTGGGCTTCCTTATCTAATGCCAATCCTACCTCCTCCTACACGTTTCTTACTCAGAATTCGATTGTTTTGGCTGGCTGTTTTCAGGTTCCACCAGACGACGCAAGAGCGAGAAACAGACACAAGAGAAGACCAAGGCTTCGACAGCTTCATCCGATAAGGAAGGCAGACTTGAGGAGCTATACGCTCAATTGGAATCAGATGCCGAGTCTTAAGTTGTTGATGCCTCAACGTCTACTAAATTTATTGTCTGTAGGCGTCTAAAAAAAATAATATCTTATTAGTTTCTTTTTTATTTGTTATTGTTTTGTTTTTCTTCAATTTCTCTTAGTTTCAGCGTACAATTATGGTATACAAAATAAAATTATACATAATAATACATAAGTTAAATAATATTTCGGTTTTAAATATTAAACCCGAACAAATATCGCTTAAGGGACTGGCTTAAATATCACTTATACAATAATCATATGTACTCGATGATGATTTTCATATTAGTTTATATGTGGTCAAGTCAGGAGGACGCGCATCGATCGTGCTTTGAAAGAAAAACTTAAAAACATTTACAGTTTGCAAAATTGTAGCACATTTTTAGGAACTTTCGGGAGTTCATGTTCCATATGCGCACATCAACAATTATATCTAAACTAAAGTACAATGTTCTCATTTTGAATCGTTCAGTATTAAATTTTGTTTTATCCAATATTTGTTTTTGTATTATTTTTGTGTATGGCTCGTTAAATTTAATATCGCAATTTGTCATTACCAAAAAACTACATACAGTACATAAAGAATTTCTGCTATGACATGACTCCTGATAGGTGTGTCGTTTCGAATGCGGAATGTTATAAACTATTTTATTATATTTAAGGCTGATTTTATTTACACAACAACAAAATGTATTTGATAAGGCACCTGTTTCACATGCTGATCGCTCAATTTACAATTGATATTCCGTTTGATTTCGAATTGTATTTCTCGTATTTATTTTTATAATTCTAATTTCTACTCCGATTTGGATTTCCTCTCATCGTTTTTGCTCGATATGTCGACGGTACGCATTTGAAATTCAAGCAATTTCCGTTTAGTGTCCAACATGCGGTAAAGTTTTAGAAACTTTACTCCAGTTGGTGATAATTTTGTTCGTGTGGTTGACAAAATGCAATGCCTATTGATTGGTTACTACGGATCTGAGGCTCTTTTAGCTAACGATGAGTTTGGAGACAAGGCACATCAGGATGGTTGTGATCACAGTGTTGACGGCAGAGCTACTCGTTACTTTGTTCAGCGAGTTGGCACCGTTTCCGGTTCGCTCGGCCGTTTCCGGTTCCAGAGGCTCATCGTTCGACTGATGATCGCCAACGGCTAAAGGATGCGGATAATTGAAAATCGAATTAGTTACTAGTTACTGGTTAAGTTTTAAGAAAATAAGTTTTAAATTGAGGACTTCTGGGTGAGGTGAATACTTATAACTAAGCTAAGGACATGTGTTTTTTTTCTCAAGCGTTATAGTGCCAGTTAAGAAAAAATAGAAAAGTTCAAATAAATAAGAATAAAGAAAACAAATTTGAAAATTATAAATAACTTAAGTAACTTAATGTGGGGATTAAATCAAATAAAAGTAGAATCGATGTAACATACTCTTCACTCTGTGTGAGTTCGTTTCTTTGTATTTTGGCTTGGTTTTGGCGTTTCGGCAGCGGCGCAGATCTTGGGCGTGGCATGGCTTATATGTTTCAATTGGTTTGATTGATGGTTGATATACATATATATATATTTGATTCGGACAGAGATCACTCAAGCGGGCGATGGATATGATGCACAAGTACTGGTAAAGCTTAATGCTGGCAAATAATAACGGGACAGGCTATCGAGATCCTCTCTATGTAGATTCTAGAAGAATCGGTTCGTTAGGCCCCACATCCAGCCGGGCAGAATGCCCTGATTCGGTACTACTGGCGGTGCTATATGTTTTGTATCATGTGGGCATATACAGACCGCAGTAAAAAGTTTCAAATGTTTTGTTTTTTTTTGTTTGAAACAAAAGTAAGAGAATAGCATAAATAAGACAATTACGAAAAAAGTAAATAATTGCTATTTGCTGGGATAGGAGAAGGGGAGTGCTCAACAATTACGTAGCAAGCAATCGGATGAATATACTATATGCATATGGTATAGAGGAGCAGGAAGCGTACGACTACAACTACACATACACATTTAGAAAGAGTGTGAGGAGGCGGCGGAAGAAAGGAGAAATAGAAGCATTTCTTTTATTTTTTGTTTTATGTGTGAATGGCGGCACATTCGCTTTGTATTTCTTCGGCGTGATGTGTGTGTAATGAAGTTGATGGAGTTCGTTATTGGTTCGTTTTGGGTTGTTTTGGCAGTTTTTCTTATTGTAGTTGTCGTTGTTGTCTGGATTGTTGTTTTTGCTGTGTGGTGGTGCTGATGTTAATTGTTCTTGTTTTTATATCCACGTCTCTTAAAGCCTGCAAGAAATATACGGTATGATACAAACAAAATGACAATGACGAATACAATTTCAGTTTCGAATTTCGTTTTCGGCACTTTTTTGTACATGTATGTGTGTGAATGCAAATTTAACGGTTATGGGCCAGGCACGTGCAAGCGAGTATTAAGCGAGTGTCATACAAAATACCCAATTGTGGGTCATAACGGGATATTTGGACCAACATATAGTGTCTGCCTCTTTCCTCATGCAGGTTTAAATTTGCCCGATTTTTGCCCTATATTAGTACAGTATCACTGGGTTCATGCAATTAGCTTGGAGTGGGGGGGAGCTTTCAGGTGAGTGTGGGTGTGTGAGTGGGTGGAAAGGTGATTGAGTGTCGTTTGGTGGATCTCTCAACCCAGTTCAGCCATTTAGAGATTGGAATTTTGTGCCGAGGGTGCCGAAACAAGGAAACGCATAATAAACACTTTGTGAAAAGTGCCAGTCTACAGGGTAAAGAGTTTAGTTTTGGAAAGGACATTAATATTAATTATACCATAACTAAATAATTACTTAGTGCTACGGAACTACACTTAGACCAAAGGAGGGGTATTGGCAAGGGTGGCCTGGTTTGTCATTGTGGTGTTTAACAAATAGTGTTGTAAAAGTGTTTATTTTCGTTTAGTGTTAGTTAGTAACGAGTTGCAAATGCTTCAAAATTGATTCTAAAATTAGTGGGTTTAGTTGTGCTCATGCTAGGATCTTGGCTTATAAGCTAAAGGATAATCGTCGATGGTGTGGTGTTGATCTTGGACCACAGTTAGTGAGACCGACTGACCAGTAGTTTCGTTGCTGTTGTTTGCTGTTTATACCCGGTACTTTCAATTATTTCAATTAATTGGCTTTTAAACTGTAAGCAAGATATTGAATTATTTTCTTTTATTTATAGTTGTTGCTTAGGCGTTTAACTTTTTCTTTGTACATGGTATGCTAAATTGAGTTGGTTAGTTTTAATAAATGTTAGTTAAACCAAATACCGAAAGAGTTAGCAGGGTTAGTAAAAAGAAACACACAAATATTAGTTGGTAAAGTTCTGGGTTAGTTTGTATTAGATTTTCATAGAGTTTAAAGTTATTTGTTTTATTTAAAAGTGTTAGAATTATGATTTTTTCTTCAAAGAGAACGTGTTGCCAGCTTAACAGAGTTTAGCCGGATAACACTGAAACAAAACTAAAGTAAAACACCACAAAATCAAGAAATATACAAGATATAAATACAAAATATATATAGAGACTGAGTAAAAGACATTGGACATACACAGTAATTAGTGGTTGGTTTTTGTTTTCAATAAGTATTATAAATGTATTTCTTCCATAGGCAACAAAGACAAACACATTCTTCGACTGGAGTAATAGAATTCAACTACATAGACATTAACTTAATTAAACATACCATATATATAGGATTTATAAACGTATTTGTCGTTTTTTCGCATTTTCTTTGATCATTTCTTTACTCTCGCTAAGTAACAACTCATACAAGATTTTCTATGAGATCTTTTTGACTTTACAGATTCAATTAAATAGTAACTCGATATCGCTCTAGTCTCCAGTAGATCGATTCGAGCTCACAATCAAACAGAACTACCGCCGAGTCGGTCCCACTCACCTGCGTCGAAGTCACCACCGTTGCCATCGTCGGCATGCGGGATGAGGGCGTGCTGTTCGAACTCAGAGTCCGAACCCTCCACGATATTACCTGTGGACGATGGCGTGTTCTTGCAGCCGAACCACCAGTGGGCGGTGGGTCTGGGGAATGGAGGCGAGGCCGTATCCACCTGAAGATTGGAAAAACAAGGATATATAAGGTTGAAGCTAAAATATATAGAAGTAATGCTATCTTACCGCAAATCGGGCATCATGGAATCGGTAGTATTTGTCGCCCTTGAAGAAGTAGGTATACCCATTCGTATACTTGAGCGCAGCATCCAGATTGTTTGGTACTCCCTCCCAGTTGGAAATGGGCTTGGGGTAGCTGGCCTTAACCGGTGGCCTCTTGGCCGGGTCGAAGCGCCAGAACTTGCTGCCCTTGAAGAAGTAGATCTTGCCGTTGCCTCCCCAAACCATAGCCGCGTCGATGTGATCCGGAATGCCGGTGAATCCCTCGCTGATCTCCTTGGGGTAAACGCCGTCCATCTGACGTCCCTGGTACCGCCAGTACTGGGTGCCCTTGAAGAAGTACGTCTTGCCGTTCTTGTACGTGAAGGCGGCATCGATGTTGCCCGGCAGTCCCGGCCAGCCCTTGGAGATGGGCTGGGGATAGCCCTCCTCGACGGAGTCTGTGGTCAGCTTGTAGTACTTGTCGCCCTTGAAGGCGTACGTATCACCCTGCGCCGAGTTGAAGAGCGTGTCGACCTTGGAGTCCTTGCAGATGGAGTCGTCAAGCGGAACCTTAGGTGGTGTGAACGACGGACGCAGGGTGGTGGGCGGATAGTAGTTTGTGGGCTTCAGTTGGTTGGTCTTCCTTCCGTACAGGGACTGGATAGCTGCCTTGTCGTCCTCGTCCAGCTTGAAAACGGGCTCGAAGCCGCGATAGAAGGGAGCCATCAATGCGGAACTCTGATCGGAGTGGGACAGTCCCAGGGAGTGACCGAATTCATGAGCCGCCACCTGGAAGAGATTGGTGCCACGGGGCGATCCAATGGTCCAGAGCTCGGCGTCGTCGAAATGGGCATCTCCTCCGAAAACTGGGAAGAAGGCGTGGGCCAGAGTGCCGCCCTGTCCGTCAAAGGCGTCGCCATCACCATGCTCGCTCTCCACGAATCTGGGGATTAGGCAAATAAAAATTATAATTAGTCTCCCCAAATAAATAAGAACTGTCTGCCAACTAGCATAGTAGATAGTAGCTCGGTTTACTGGCACTATTTATCTTAATCAGGGCATGAGAACATTATAGTCTTATGTTCTTATCTAAACGCCATGCTCCGAAGTATTTATATAAACTATAAATTAATCTGTTCAGTACTTATTTATGAAACTCACTTGATTTCGATGTGAACTGGGCCGGAGGTTTTCCTGGTGAAGGTTAGATCGGTGTCCTCGGACCAGACGGCGAAGGCGCGGGCAATCTCAGCATCCACATCCACACGCTTCAATCGCTTCGGGTACTTGGAGATTTTGTAGGTGAGGTTCTTGACGCGCCAGCGACTGCCCTGCAGGGCGTACCTCTTGGAGCGACTGTCTCCAGTGCCCACACGATCCCTCACACCGCATCGGGGCAGGGACATCAGTTTCATGGTCTCCTCATCCAGCTCGCCGGTGATGTTCAGGCCGGCAAAGTTCTGGAACTCCTGGATGGCGCTCACCCAGGTCTGTTGGTCGTGGAGGCCACTGCTGGCCGGATTGCGAGCCGAGGCGGGTAGGTAGCCGAACTGGGACAGGTAGATCTGTGGGGAAGGAGCAAAAAGGAAACACTGGATTAGCCGGCAGCTCCGAAGATCAATGGGGCCACCCGCTGTTGGGGGCTATTTGATTTATGGCCATCAGATTAGCCAGTTACTGGCAAGTCCTCTTGACGGTGTCGCATTTCTATCTGACTTGCATAATTTACGGCTGTCACAGTGGCATATAATTTGTGTTTATATACTTGGAAAGGAGGGAGGAGATCTCCCAGATGTATTAAATTAAGAACAAGACCATTTCTCGCAGTGCATTAGCAATAGAGACTTGTAGAGAGGTGTGAAAACTCTTAATCGATCTCCAACTTTGAGGAAGCGCTTCAATTACAATCTCATCGGATCGCTAATTGTAAATTGTAAATTGTAACATTGAGAAATCGAATAAACACAGTCTGCCCATCAGGGAAGTGCAAGCTATACGGGGAGAGAACAATGCGAGGTTATCTTAACAGTTATACTATACTATAAAATATACTATAAAATATCCATTTGAATTTGTTGTCTGGCCAATTACAACGGAAAAGTGTCTTACAGCACAAGTTGAATTTTATGCGATTAACGCTTTTGGCAACAAATACATTTTAATTTGGCATGTGGATCAGGTCTCTGAGCCGTTTATGTGTCGCACATTCTTAATGACACCGCCATATATATATAATATATATTATATTGACTCGGTGTGTACTTAGTGACTGGCACACAGATACTTGGGCCAGTAGCATATTGTATAATGATTTGCCGAATCTTGCATAATGCCAGCTGACTGTTAATTTTATTGTGTTCTTTCCGCCTCCGAGGAAGTAAACATTTCGCTGCCCGCCCGCTCGCTCGATTCGAGTATTCAAGAATTCATGTCTCGTACTACAGACAGTGGCTCTGTGATCTTTTTTATTCGCTGGGTGGGTAACTTCCCCCATCCGATCAGCTGGAATTTGTTGTTCTTTTTTGACCAAAAGGTAAACGAACTGTAAACAAAGTAAACTAAGGAGGGCAGGTTCAAGTAGCAAGTATCTGTAAGTACATCTCGCCCTCGGAGGAGGAGCTCTCGGATCAAAATCAAACTGGCTGAAGCACTGACTCATCATCATCATTGGTGGGTGACCTTAGGAATGCCATTCTTTATGCAATTAACATAATTATTTCCCAATGCACTGAGCTGCAGGCAAGCACGCTCGAATTGATTACCGAGGTGGGGAGCAAGGTGTTGGCTGGTTTTGGCTTTTTGTGTTTAGTTTGTAATGCAGTTCCATCACAGAACAAACAGCCAATTGAACGCATTGTTCGGAAAATCAAACATTAAGTCTCTTTGGCTGTTATCTCCTATCGATAAGATAGCTCCATTTGGCAACAAACAAAAGGCTTTACTCAGAGTTGCTTGAGTCACTTTTGATATACACTGACGCATTTGTGAGACGCCTTATACTTTCGACTTTTTGTTCAGCTTTGACAGTTTCGATGGATTCAGAATGTGGTAGTGCGTCACAAGGCAAACGGAAGTCGTAGTTGAAACGGAAATTCTCCGATGATTATACAGGTATTCTATAAGCTCTTTATTATTTTTCGGGAGTCATCGGGCACGACTGATTTTGCATGCAATTACCGATAGTCGCCCCAGGGGGAAAGATGCTCCATGGTCGGGCTGAAAATCAGTTGAAATTACACGGGTCCGGGTGTACACTGAACAGGTTGAGGGACACTGCAGTCGGGTCACGTTTCAGAGGGCGTTGAAATTGCACTTCAATTTATTATTGGACATTGACACAATTTTCTTTAATTTTTTTGTGCGACTCTGTTTGCTGTTTGGTGTGTCGGATAATAAAAACCAAATGTCAACAAAGAACTGCCGTGGTTCTGTGGAAATTTCACTGTAATATCATGTATACCCGTAGTATCTCTACGTACATGTGTAGTAGGGGAGGGGGTTTGGTGGGTGACCTGCTTGCCTGGTTTACTTCTGGCCTGGCCCCAAGGAGTTGAACTTGCAGGAAATGGCTTACTGGGCGCTCGGGGCATTCAAAGGACTTGGTGTGCTTGTGCATGTGCGCCCTGGAAAGTATGCTACACGTTTCGCAAATGCAACCTTCAAATATTTAACACAATTTGCAGCTGCAAGTTGCCAACTTGATTTGCTTTGAAAGCGAGGTGGACTGGAGGGCGAATTCAACTCCTCAAGGAGTCAATGAACTATTCCCCCATTTAAATTTCGTAGGCGTTTTCCGCCTCGTTTATTTCCGGGCGAAACAAGAACAGGACATGCATAAATTATAAACAAGTATCGTTTTGTGTATACTTTCTGTGTATACTGGGCGGCACAGTGCCTCCCCGGTGGAAATTGATGAGAAAATTATTGCCGAGCGTGGGTGGAAGCGAACCCGGGCCGGAGTTCTTCGTTTTTCGGGGGTGCGTGGTTAGTTTACGCTGCAAATGTGGGTCAACCAGGTCGTTGACTTTCACCGCCGCCCACTTCTACTTTTTCCGTACATTTTCTTTTCAGTTTCCCCCGTTTCTGTGTTTTTAGCAGAATTGGCCAGGTAACAAACCTAGACCTAGTTGCACAAATATTTGCGTGGCACGTGCACCAGCGAAAGTGTCTGCGACAATTAAAGGCAAACAATGGAGGTTTTCCCTGCGACGCCCTGACGATTTTCCCATCTAGCTTTTGGCAAACAGCAGGGACCAGGCTCCCTGCACATGCAATCCGAGTTGTCCAATCTCGTATCTGGCAAACAGGCTTAACTTGTTTAACTGTTTTTTAACGCCGCCGATTACATCATGGCCCCTCAACCCGGTCTCACCCCGTCCCGGGGAATCGAAGCGCAGGCGCCTCATTTGGCGGCATTTCTTTTTGACGATTTTCTATAACGAGCCAGTAGATTTGGCCAGCAGATTGAAAATAAAAAGACAACTCAAAACTAAAACCAAAAAATCCTCAAACCAAACCAGCCAGAAGCAAAGAAAAACAGAAACTGGGCCAACGGGCCAGTCTTAAATGCAGCTTTAAGTTGTATAACGCATTTGGCCAAAAGAGTCGGAGAAATGGGTTTTAATTGAAAGAATTTCGAGTTGGTTTTTGCAGCTTAAATTGGGTTATACGGGGAGCTCTCTCGCAAATAAAAAATTCCCCTCCATTCACTTTGGTTATAAAATATTTATGCTGCAATAAGAACAGGGCTTTAAGCCATAAAACAAATCATTTGACAGACAAATTCCTTGACATTTACTTCAGGGATTTTGTGGTATTGTCGGCCAGTTAAGGAGACTCCCACAAAATATTTGACATTTCCACACACACCCAAGAGTCAAAAGGATATCTTTGCATCGCCACCCTTCTGGCACTTTTTATTGTTACCGCTTTTTGCTGCCTTCAAGTGGCTAATTCACATAGCGATAAATAAGCGTCAAGATGCTAAGATAACCCTGCAATAAAAAGGCGCTTTTCATGCAAAAGTCAGGCTGCAAAAAAAGTATCTAGGATTTTTTTATTGTGCCTGTTTTAGGTTGTTGTTTATGGCAAGACGACGCGTGAAATGCTAAGCTCTAGATGACCTTAGGGAGGTCTGAAAAAGGATGTTGGTTTGCAAAAAAAAAAAAAACTATCATTTGTTTGGAAAGTTTTACGGACAAGGTTATACTTGCGAACGGGGGGCCACCTTGTTTGGTTATCCTTTTGTTAGCCACCTCGCGAAGGTCGCACGCAACTAACTGACTTTTTTCCATAGGCAAATCAATCAAACAAAATACACAAATTCCAATGGCTATTGATTAGTTTGGCCGAGAAAGCCTAGTTGAGAAAGGCAGGTGAGAATGTGTTTGACGCACGAACACGTTCTAAGGAAGTTCGCGACCAGGTTCTAGCTTTAATTTAGTTATAATTAGACCAGAAACTTGGAAAACTTATTGGCTGCTTTCGGGGCTTTTACGTTCAACGATGACGAATACAACGGCCTGAGCCTGAGCTCATTTCAATATTATTCAATGGTGCGAGCAATTAACCTTTTGACAGCTCCATATTCATGCTAGACGTCGATGACTCACTAGCTCTGAAGTGGATAGTTTTTCCTGCTCAGATCGGATCAAACTAGATGCCATCCATAACAGGCATCACCTCAAAGACAGATCATTAATCCTGTCGAGGAGAAAATCATCAGAGATCATATCAAATCACGATTTCCTTTTGGCTCCATCGGTGGTCCACTCGATTTGCATTCTCGTGGGGGGAGGGAGATTTATTAGAAATTAGAAAAGAACAAAGAGCCTCCTCCTGACATTGGAGATTGGAGGAGACGAACACGTTAGCCAGCGTCGCCGCCTTTACTGGTTTTGGGCCGACTGGCCGGCCAAGACGACGAGCCAAGTTATTGGCAACGCGGTTAACATACCAATTAGCCAACAGCCCCCCTTTCAGACCCCCCTAGAGAGTTACGTAAAACATAAATAAAACCTAAAAACAATGTTAAGCACGCGCTCATGCGTGCTGAGGAGTTCCAGAATCAAAATCGAGAATCGATTTGGAGAATTTCTATGCGAGACTGGGGGAGGCAGTCGTCACTACATAGCACCTTGTCACTTTGCTACATATCGCTCGATTGGGCTGGGCTTTCGTAAATGGCTAATCAGGAAGTTATAGTGATGCGTCGTTGGTTGGTAATTTGCCTCTAACTTTTTGCCGGACAGTCGGACAACCGGACAGTTGTTTTTGCTTTAATTTATGCAAGTCTGTGGCAAGTAAACGTGAGTCGCTCCAGGTAGATACAAGCTCCAAGTGCAAACGTGCTGCAGCTTCGGCAATTGTTGAATTTTTAAATGGAAATTACATTCGGCCAAACGACAGCGAATCATGACAAGCAATTAACCAGAGATAAATATTTATAAATTGTAAGCGTGGAAAACAAGTCATTCTGGCGGATTTAATCGAAAGGTGATGTATTAATGGGTTGTAGTCTTATCATTTTTTTTTTTTTACTAAAAGTTTTGAAAGTTAGAAGCCACTGTTTTTGCAGGCTTAACCCAACTATATAATGGGAATTTTCTAGTTAGCTTATCAGTTGGTTGGGAAATCTTTAATAACAAATCGAATTTTAATTGAAGGGTTGGGAATAAATGGTCGTGTAAGCTTTTCCTTGTGGAAAGCCACGTTCTGACCAATGTCATGAGCGATAACGCTAATGATAAAGCCGATTGCAATTAGCCGGCTATACGGCTCTACGGCTCTACCTGCATGCACTTTTCTGTTTGTCGTGTAAGCCTGGCCAACAACTAAGGCTAAGGCCAATAGCGCGGCAAGTGCGGAATAAAAAATTCAGTTGACATGCGATGCGCGTGAGCCTGTTGCACTGTCGGAATAAATAAATACACATGAGTTCCTAGTACACTGCTCAGTTTAGTGTAAAATTAAGTATAATTGCCCAAAAAACCAAAGCACCGAGTGCCTGGCACATTTGTCATGCAAATCGGAAATAAAGTTGCAGACTCGCTGTGTACTTATTATATAAAATGATATATATATCAGACAGAGTCTGACTGATTCCGTTTAATGGAGGGAAGCTGAAGTGCAACCAACCCATTTCCCTTATCATTTATTTCTGATTCATTTCCACTTATTTCCTGAATTTTAAATTGCATTTTAAATAGGTATTTTTTTCTGCTGAAAGCCCATCCACTAAAGGGATGATATTGCCTTTTATTTTAATGGAAAATTGCATTCTAAAGTTCCGTATTAATTATAGATGATAATATTTAATTACTTAATTATGCTGTAGATTCTAGACTTACCTCTGCCTGTGTGGTGGTGGAAACGGGTGCCGATTGCGCTGCTACCAGAATGGAAAGCAGGGTCCCTACGACTATGAACACTGAACTTTGGCAGTTTGTCATTTTGTTGCTGTTTGTGATTCCCTTAGATGCCGTTGCTGGATGTCTAATTGTCATGTAGTTCCACTTGCACTCGAGTTGGGGGGCGCACTTTGAACTTTATATCACTGCAAGGTACAAGCAAAAAAAGGTCAATTAATATTTCATAAAGCCGGGGCAGATGTAATAAAGCAGCCAACAAACTGGCCAGAACAGAAATAAAAGAGGAAAGCGGACCAGGCCAAGTACAAGTGCAAAAGGGCGAACGGAAATCGTTGCCACCCGCCTCCTGCCAAATGCCAACAGGTTGAATGTGGCACACACTCAGGTGGAACGGCAAACGGAAGTGGCTGCCACGAACGGGAAAGGAGAGGCAGTTGTACTCCGAGTCGTAGTAGAAAAATAGTACAACTCTTACGAGGGCCGCCACTTATGACGAGAAGGACTGCCAGATACCCTTCAGAAAAAGCACATCTGCTATTATATCTATTTTATAATCTTTTAATTTTTATTATTATTGAGGTACAATGAACTGTCATCTCGCATCTTGTGAAGCCTTTAAGTCCATCAGCCTAGGAGTATAACCTTATCAGAGTCAAATATTTGTCGAGACCCCACTCTATGATGCCCCATATCTGCGCTAATAATCCCTCTCGGTGGCTATATCGGATACGTTGAGCTACTCGGGTATTCGGGACGGCTGTCCTGCATCGGGCATGATGTTTTGATCGGCCAGAGATATAGAGAGTCATGTGGTCTGGTGTCTGGCTAGCTCGGACGTCATAAAAGTCGTTTGTAAGTTTAGACTCCAATTAGAATTTAATTTTAGACTCGACGGCGGCTGGTAAATACCAACTTGGCCATAACCGTAAAGGATAGTACGGGCCTTTGTTTATATTCTGATATTTGATTTCCTAAAAATAGCCTGCAGTTTTCTTCTACTCATGGTGGCAGATATATTTATATCTGTTGTTGTTGACCTAGGGCACGAGACAAGTGCCAGGCCAGGAATCGGGGATATAAACTTTTTATGTAAACTTTATACTTTTATTATGATGTTTATGCCCATGAATACAATGGGTTATAGCTTGCACCTATGATTTTTACGCCTTTTTTTTTGTGAAGACAAGGCATCCGTGTGACATCAGCAGGCGAAATGACAGGCCAGAAAGTGCGATAAGTCATATCAAGTATACGCCACTTGGGCAGGCGCTTTTCAGGTGGCTCTCTGCAAATAAATATCCATTCGAGTGTGGACACTGTACAGTCTGCATTCGTTTGTGTTGTCACTGACTAAGCACTGACTGGGGATTTCTGTCGCTTTTATGTTCGGCAATTAGCCGCTTGATCTGCCCAAATATATAATGAATATAGTATACGCACACCCCCCCATAGGTAGTACCACCATTGTGTTATCTGATTACAATAATTTCTGTTAAACAAATACCATAAACAATTCCCCATTTTCTGTGTCGGCTTTTGGGCAAATGTTTCGCGTTGGGTTGAAGGTCGACTGGCTGACAGTTTAAGGTTAGCACCGTGTGGTTAACTCCACTGATGGGTTCACGGGTTGAAGGGGATAGATCGTCATTTAGTGGGTCTGTGGGGTTGTCATAACAATGGACGCATTTCACCCATTTTGTTAGATCAATAAAAGCGAGTTTTGAGTGCTTTTGGAGCAAATAATCGATGTCGAAATTGCTTTATACGCGAAAGTTTTGCGCTTGTCTTTAACTTTTATCAAAAAATGTTACGTATACGGCATGTGGGACACGACGGGATGTGTGGTCGATTGCCTGAAGTGGGTCATAAGACGAGAATTCAGTTAAGGTTCTTTCTTTTTCTTTTTTTTATCGAATATTTGCTTAAATATGAATCTCAGATCTTCGGAGAAGTGAGCGTGCGTCACCCGTATTGATAATTTTATTGGAAAAAAGCAGATAAATTAACATTCTAACCTGTTTGGCTAAAAAGTCGTTGGGCTTGGCTATTGAAAAAAAAACAATAAAAGAACAACAAAATTACCCAACAACACTGAATTCCACTTGCTATCGCTTTTTGGCATTGTTCGCATTATCAGTTGGGTTTTTTTTCGATAAGATATGATTGTGAATCGCCCGGCGAGTTATGCTTGTGAATTACCAAATAAATATTTTTTGGTATCCCCCAGGTGTTGGTACTACATGTCCGAAGGCGTCTAGAACTTGACCTTAGTGATAACCAAGTCCTTAACCAATTTACGATTGGGCAAGTCGAAAGGAATTTCGAAATGTATCGATTCAAGTTCAGTTTTTGTGAAGTGGCACTAAGTGGGTTTGGGGCCTGGGGCTTAGGTCTAATTAATGGGCTGATTTATCAATTTGGCTTGGCTGGCTAGTTAGCTGTCTTGACCTTTCAATTAAATGCGTTTCGATGGGGGCGTTGCAGTGCTGCAGTGCAACAGCAGATCATTGAACCATAGTCGTCTGCCTTTGTTGCTTGCCACAACTGATGTCTTGCAACACTCACTTACAAAAATTAATTAATTATCTCTCGAGTACATACGTTGTTTCTTCTTGTTTGTTGTAGCTGTCGTCGTCGTTGTTATTTTTCGCGGCTGCTGCTGCTTCTGTTGCTTCTGCTTATTCCGCTCGTGGGCGTTATTTTGTTTTTGTATCAGCTGTGGATGTATTGTCGTTGTTTATAATTTATTACAGCGATCCTTTTGTTTCTACTGCGGCTTTTGTGTGTCTGTGTCTGGGGGACGAGAAACTGCACTAATTGCTCGCTGGCATATCCATCTTCGCGATCATTTCCGCAATCGAACAGATTTCAACTCAAAACTGAGCACAAAACAGAGCGTTCACTTTTTGGGATAATCTTTTAATTCGAAATTTATTTATTTACTTTTTTGTTAAATTATATATTTTGAACTCGAACTTCGTTTCTGTTTCTCGCCGCTAAACACATCCGCCCTGGGCAGCGCGCAAATTTCAACTCAACTGAACAGTTTCAATTTCGAATGATTTCAATTCAGTTTCGAACCGAAGCCTCGGCAGACGACGGCGATCGTGCCGAAAGCTCTTCGCGTGCCAAAAGCTTTGTCTCTTTTCTGCTTAACAGCGAGAGAACTGCAATCTTAACAGTGGGGATTCCTTGGCCCCACGGCAACTGGGGTGTGCGGTGGTCGGAGGGGGGCAGAGATAGCCGAAACCTGTTGCCAATATTCGAAGTTTCAAGTTCCTGCCCCCCTTCCGCAGTCTTTCCATCGCTCTCTCTCTCTTTCACACTTTGCGGGAGGGGTGCGTATGAGTAATCTCATTTCTTGGAATCATCCAAATGTGTCATACGCCACCGGGTCCAGCCAGCAGAGCCACAGCCTCGGCCACAGTGACAACAAACGGCAGTCGGCCCGCCACCAAAAACAACAATCAATAGCGTCAGTCAATAAAAAAAAGCAACAAAAGATACAGATACTCGGATACGGTGGCAATTTGACAGTTTATCTTAGAGGTAAGCACCTTAAAGCCCCTCCCTCCCAGCTTTTGTTTCTTAAAATTCACATTTGTTTTCGGCTGAATTTCCGCCAACTGCAAAATTATGAATGAATGTGGTTTTGGATTCCCCGCAGCCCATCGATTTCTCAATGAATGAGTATGAGTAATACGCAAGCAGATAAGAAGGAAAGCTCTACCACATTATATTGCTAATAAGGTGATTATTAAAGGTGAACATAGCACGGTAGAAATCATTTTTAGTCATTATTTGAAGAAATCTTTACAGTCCTTATAGGTATGAAAATTCTACTAATTAAGAGATGAGGATTTGACATATTATAAAGCTGCCGTTTTGGTAGGTGACGATACCAGATCATCTTAATATTTAATTTGATTTGCTTTGAAAATTGATATGTATAACCAATTTCGTCATAATCGGTAAGATCAAACATTTTTGAGCTTTAAGTGCGTTCGTCACCAATCGTATACCTCGTAAAATGGTATTTTAACATATATTTTCAAGAGTAGGAATTAGTTTTTGCTTAATCATCTAATTTAATTTTTCCATAAGCTGGCTTATAAATTTCTAAACCATCACTTAAGCCTTTGGAAAAATACTTCCATCTCATTATCGTCTATAACCTGAGGGAAATGTACCTAATTACACATTCATCTCAAAAAGAGGCTCGACTCTTCTAAGAATCAATGATATATCTCAATCTGTGGCTGTTCCATTCCATTAAAACCAATTGTAAGCAATTTCGAGTGACTCACAGTCAGTGTACAGGGCCAGCGGGCCACGTGAAGTAAATTGCTACCTCGTAGCGCAAACAAATCTAATAATCGTCCAAAACAATTGTTTACAAGACTGCAGTTGAAAAAAAAGAGTATATTATACTTGTAAAAAAGTGCTAATCCAATGTTCAGATAGGAGGTGGCATTCCCTTAACGACAATTCTTGATTCTTGATTCTAGACTTGCTTTATGGAGATGGCAGAACAAAGGGTCGAGGCATGAGAGACGAGTTGGGATTCTGGGCACTTATTCATGGACCAAGTGCATCTGGCCTGTTGCTGTCAGTTGCCCCCTGATGCTCCTCCGGATCCTACGAGTTCTTGAGTCTGTTATGGCCATGGAAAAGTTGACTTGCTGTCGTCTTTGTCGCCTGCTGTGCGATGCGATGCAGTTGGAACAATGAAATATTTATGAGCACCATCTCCTTCTGCCTTTAATGACAACTATTTATGGTATTTTTAGAACACTTCTCCCCTCTCGGACTCGAGTTCCCCGACCTCTACAGCCTCCACAGGGTGAAATGAACTTTTCCACCATGAACTCTTTCTGTTTTTTTGAAAAAAAAAACAACCAATTTTGCATTGACATTTGCCTTTGAACTGAAGCGACAAACGAAGCAGAACTGTATATCTACACATGTATGAACAAATTGTCATATAGATTGGAAAGATAATGCTAATTGTATACGAATATAGTATATTTATTTTGAATAGACCTGCTACTGCTACTGCTGACTTTGAGTGCGAAAAACTATTTCTAAAACTCAATCACGTCACGGTCAGGCTTTGATAGTCGTTTGCCAAACGATATATATGAAGTATCTGTCTATCTAGCTATCTAGCCGATGTATCTATAATTATATGTATTCATGTTTGCCTGGCCGGCCTATGCATTGAAAAGTTTTACAAAGGGGGGAGCTACGTGATGATTGTTAGGCCCACCAATGTCAAATTCAAAGTCCACATAAAAGATGTTGCTTTCGAGAAAGTGGAACTCCCCCACTCATCGCTGGATGACTCACTTACCATAAAGTTTTCAGTATTATTTTATTTTTTGAATAACAAAAATTGAGCAATCCAAATTTGCATTAGCCAATTTGTGAACTAATTTTGTCGGTCTACTCGTGTCTTTTAAACAAATATTGCATTTGTTTTCTTTTCAAGTTCTTTTGCGTTTTGTTTTAAACTTTATCAGTGGTTATCGTAGTACGATTGCGATTAGATCTTCTACGTATGGTAGTTAGATAAGGGCCAAGACACAATCTAAACCGAGTGTTAACTCATTCAGCGGCTAAATCAAGGCTGCACTCACTATCACTCATCGAATCTCGAGGCACCAACTCTCACTCTGTTACAAGACCTTTGCTTTTTTCTCAGTGCATGGCTATGGAGGGAATATCCATGTTGTGGTTCAGAGATTTTTGATTTAAATCGTTTAATAACGAGTTGTTTATAGCGCGTTGTTGGTTGGCGACCGTTTCACAGCAGGTTCCGATTGCGACTCGTGTCTGGCTTTTAGCTTTTTGCCTTCTGCCTTCTGGCTTTCTGGCTTTTTGCCTTTCTTTGTGGTGGCAGCTAATATATTGTTCGCGTCGTCGTCTTCGTACTACCCCTACACGTATCTGTGTGGGTCTAATGGCTAGGCTTTCTGTCTCTGTATGGGATTCTATTTTCCAAGTCACGCGAATAACCATAAAGAAGTGCTCGCACACACAAATACACTTATGGGGCTTAGAATCCTAGTTTCGGGGGTTGAAAATAGTTTCCTTCCCTTACAGGCTTTGCATATTATTACAAAGCAACAGGAGCAAGGATATACATATAGCTTTTTCTATTTTTTTTTATCGTTGTTGTTGTTGTACCTAAACTCACCTTAAGCTTGCTGTTAACAGAGCCTGTTTTCGGAGGCTAGAAGTTAGTAAGCTAACTGTTAGCAAGCACTGTTATGATGATGATGATTCACTTGAAAAGCTCCTATATGTCGAGGCACTAATTATATTCAAAACACACGTTAATTTTTGCACTCAAATTTGTTTATTTGTTATGGTTTTATTTAGTTTTTGTTGTTTTTAGGAGGATCTGCCTTGCTGCAGCAAGCTGCCGTAACTGCAAGTTCGTTGTGCGTTTTTTGTGCTAGACTGAGGTCTGAGAAGCTCAACTTAGATTCTTTTATATGCTTCCGTTCCCGATCAGATCCGATCCGATCCCAAACCCACTCCGACAGTCAGCTCAGATGTCAGTCAGCGTCCTTCCCTGTCAACACCCCCTTTTCAGTAACAGTTTTTGTTGGTTTTGTTTGTCGATGTTCCTCATTTAGTAACGGGAAACTTACGCACTGCCATCCCGGTTTTTTTACTTTTTTATTTTAAATCATTTTATTGTCTTATGAGAATGATTCATCGGGTCAGACCTAAGCGATAGTCAATGGTCTTTGATGGGATATTTTGCGTAAGTATCTGTATCTTGGAGTGCCGCCGCGATATCTTCAACTCCGACGAGCTGAATCATTTGAAATGCACGCCGCCTTCGATTCATTCCATTCCGTTTCGTTTTGTATCGCTGCGATGCTAAATTTCATTTTATATTGTTCTTATATTTTGATTTATACACAATCAAACGTGCTGGAATGTTGTCCTCCCGCAACCTGTCTTTTCCTTAAACGCCCAACGCCCACCCACCCGCGGCGGCGAGTTTAATGCCTTCTTTTGTATTTCAATTAAATATTTGACGAACAAATAATAAACTAAGGACTTTAGATACAAAAGCGAGCCAATTGATTGACGAGCAGGAAGTCGAGAGTGTTGGCCGCTCCTTATTACAAAATTTAAAAAGAAATCCTTCAAATAAAGGTTATTGTTTGATTAGCTTTATAATCACATATAGAATTTATTATTAATTTCCATCTTCTCTAAGCAATAGAGTGCTTGCTTGCGTTGGGTATTTATTTTTATCATACAATTCTAGGGCAAGTTTTGGTATTTATAGGGACAATTATGAAACCATAGATTGGAGGTCATTTACACAAAGAATTTGAGTATAAAACACTCTAAGAAAGTCTCTCTACCGATCGCTGAGCCTTATTTAGCTTGAAGTTAATGAAACATAAATAAAGTTGCCCTTGACTCGGCCACAGCCTGTCTGCTCTGGCCATCTTTTGTCTGGATCTTGGCCATAACCGCTACGTGTTGTGGTCGTAGGACACGCCCTGATGTCTCATCCTAGTATTCATATTTTTGTTTGCCCATAGTCCCATACATTCGCCGGAATAACCCTTGGTTCCCCGTTTAATACACGATGCTGACTATCCCTGCATTTCTGCGGAATTTCTCTTGAGTAATGGTATCACCCGAAAATTGAAAAAAATTTAAATTTATAAACAAAAGCAGACCACAGACTACACAGCTGGGCCACAGCAAACGTGCACTGCAAATGAATAAACCGACCGATGCCCAACGAAAATTATTATAATGCTTTTATGTCTTTAATTTCACTCAAGTGTCTCTCGGCTGACTCATCTTGCATCCAAAAATCTGTATCCACAAATAGCTAGATGGATGGATGGCTTGGGTCAGGCATTTGATTTCAATTAGCACAACATTGAAGTCAAGACCAAACTAGCAGAGAGGGGGGCTGTACGACATGGCGAGTCTGATTCCGATTCTCGAAACAGATGTCCATGTCCCTGTCAAGTCCGGCAGTCACCACTGACCCTCTCAGTCGGCCAAAGCTGTCATTCACCAGTCGATAAAAATCCAATAAAAAAGCAACATTTTTAATTTGCATTCTACATAGAAGTTGCATCCCCGAACTAGGGTGTTTTGCATATGAGGGAGTCGGGAGTGGGATATGTTGGCCCTCTCGATATGTCGTCAGTCAAAGGCTGACTTTTAATCCAGAAATAAAAATATACCCTGAGGTTTAAGGTTTAGTTTGGTTTTGAATCAGAGCTAGAGCTGATTCGGTTTTTTTCTTTTTGGGTTTTTTGAAACCACAGATTAAACAGCATATGATTTAAAGGATATATGTATTTAAAGATATTAATTGATTGTGACCACTTCATGAAATCATAATTAAATAAGTATTCATAGGTTACTGACATTATCTTCTAATTGTAGTCCTACTAATTGCAATCAAGTGACTCTTCATATATAAAATGTATATTTGAAGCCACATTACCATAGAGAGGACTTGCACACGCTCGAAAATCAGTTTATGACTTTTTGCTATAAAATTAATAATTTTTTTTTGTTGATTCTTCGGTATGGGAGACACGTTCACACGAGGGCAACGAACGCGCCTGCGCAGAGTGCTTTAGTCAAAAAAAAAAAACCAAAAAAGAGCCAGTAAAAAATGTCAAAATATTGTTGTCCAAATACCAATGGACAGTGGCCAAATGGCCAATGGCCAGTGTATACTGCCCAATTATCAAAACAAAGAATTTTTGCCATGTGCAAACATAAACACGTGAATGTCTGGCTATTTGCATTTGTCAAATAAAAATCTTAAAATGGAAATTTAAATAAAACAGAAAAAAAAGGAGAGTTTTTTGGAAATGCACTCGCCCCAAGTCAGATGAACTTTTTCAGGTGGCTTTTGAAATGCAAAAGAGCAAACTCTTAACAAGTGGCATATAATGAAGGAAGGTGGAAGGTTCAGGTGTAAGTTCAAAAAACTCCAGCCAGGAATTTTATCTCCAGCCATTGTATCTGCTTTACATTATATGGATTATATTATACGAAACTTTAAATTGGATTTCCGATGCAAACAATTTTGCTTTTTTTTGCTGATGCTGGACAGCGCCCTTGGGCCATAACTTTCGTTTAGGATGGACTCCTTTTCCTGGTTCAATGGAATCTCAATATATTTACTTTGGCTATATTTTATTTAATTGCGTATACGCAGCGTTTAACCCAAACAGATCGAAAAGCAAAGCAGAAGGAGAATAAAAAGCTGCCATCATAATTCTGACTTTCTGGCGTTTTTTTCTCACTTTAGAAGTCGCTGCACGTTCCGAATGCCGCATCACGTATTAATGAGTACTTTCCTTCCTCACCTCACCCACTCCCAGATCCACTCGCAGATCCACACCCACACACCTTGCTGCCATCCTTGGGACTGGAATAACAATAATAATACTTATTGCACTCAGGTCGTCCGTGTAGACAAACAGTTATGGCATTTAATGGCTAAAGAAAACATGAAATCCAGCCAGGTCTTTGTTCTGGCCAAGAGTAGCCACCTGGGGGATACAAATTCAGGCAGAGATTTGTCAAGCAGGAGGCCGTGGGCGTGGCCCGGCATTCATCTTCCCATTGAGTGGACAAATACTTGAGTTTATATTCATTGTTTATTGCTTTCGATGAAAACCGCTTGATTAAATGCACCTGGATTGTCCTTCGGCTCGTCGGAGTCTGTTGCTTCCGCTATTGGATTCTTCCTCTCCCTTTCGCGCTTCCTATCTCCCTCTCTGTCTCTTCTTGATGAAGAACTCTTCTCAGTAGCCAAAGAAATTGAAGCCGCAGAGCAATTTATCCGGGCGGCGTATACGGAGAATGCCAAATTGGAAAACGGACATATCATCATCCTCCGCCATATTCATGTCCAGAGCCATCAGTTTCTCGGCGGCCAGTGGATGCCAGGAGCCGAATGTGCAGGCGGAATTCATCTGTCGAGCAAGGACATCAATACAAAAGCCCTGGGGGGAATTGTAAAGGAGTCTGCCACCCACCTCTTTGCTGTAGTAGTGACAGCGTCCATTGAGTCGCGTGGAGGGCACATACTCCACAAAGTCAACGTGAGGACAATGTGGCAGAAGCAGAGCCAATCCTAGTGGACAGGATATTAAGGATTAAAACTATACATACCATTGAAAATATTCTACCTATAAAGCCCGAACTTGGAGGATTCCTTCGAATAGCACGATTTCCGGCAAACATTTGCAAACTCTGCCACAACCGCCATACGGAATGGGGATCAATCAGGAAGGCCCTCGACTTGGGATTGCGTCGTCTATATATTTCGTAATTGGTAAAGAGATCATAGTCCGCACTGGTCAGCCAGTCCTCCAGGGTTCCATTGTACTTGCCAGGATCCCAGGCGGCGATCGTGACATTGCGAAAGATGGGAGCGCGTGTGAAATCAAACTCGGGCTTTGTCACCACCTGCGGGGGTGTGAAGGGATGGGTGTCAATAAAAAACAATAATAATAAAAAATGCATTTCAATTGAAAGTGCGGAACTGCATTTTTTATAAGCCTACTTGCGAATTCACCACACGAATTGTGGTTTTGCTGCCAACATCCACCTCGTGTCCTTCCGTTGGAGCATGGTTGAATCTCATCACAATGTCGTGCGTGTCTGGGGGCACAAAAAAAAATTAATAAAATAAAATACAAAACAAAAATATTACAAAATCCATTAAAAAAAAAAATAAACTAGAAAAACAGAATTAGAGTAGACGAGTAAATCAAATTGTTCATGATTGCCTACGGTTCTCTTCCGACTAATTGTGCATGCAGGTCGCTTTGAATGCAACTTCACTGAGAGAAATAGATAGAATAATAATTAAATAAAAATCTTACCTATAAATCGACCCAGTTTAGAGCCTGCTAAAGAACCTGCACTGGAAACAATGGCACAAGTCTTGATATTTCGAATATTGCGAAAGAGTTTCTGGCGCGGAAAAAGTCTCCCGAAAGGCAGCTTGTTGAATGGCTCATCCTTGCGTCGCAGGACCCTTACTCCCGCCTCCATCACCAGGCAGGTAGAGGGATAGTACTGCTCCTCGAAACTGTCGCCAAAAACTGGTTTGTAGTCAACATTATAGTGATTCGGATCCGACTCGTTGACCGACTCGATCATGGCCTTTTCAAAGGTCTGGACGATCCGCTGGCGGAACTGCTGGGTCTTGTTGTGGCACAGCTCCGAGTGCTTGTCATGGCAGAGGTAGAGCTTCGGACTGAGCGTTAGCTTGGTGTTCTTGGAGACCTTCAGGCGCGGATGGGGGGCCAGTTTGGAGGAGTTGATGGCCGGATTTTCGCGACTTTCGACGATGAATTTTTCATTGGGATTCCAGCGCACATGGAAGACACTGCGAGGAATCCGAACTGAGGAAGAATGCATGTTTCTAATCACTTTGCGCAGACTCTTTGGGAAGGGAAACGGAATCATAAAACCATACGCACCGTTGGCCGCCAGCGACGTATTCACCTCGCGGGGTTCGTGTCTCCGCTGAGCTTTCGCGTCGCCGACTTCCTGCTGCTCGCTTTGAATTATTAAGGCGGCGCACACAATGAGGCTGACGAGTAGGGCCTGACACTGACCTGGCAATGCGCGTTTCACTTGCCTCATCTTCCACTCATAATAAGCTATTCGAAAGAGGGTCCAATAAATATTTAAACAACCTGCGGATGTTGCCAATCAAAATGCCAAACAAAAGATTGAATAATAAAGAATGTAATTTTAATTTTAAATCTCAACTTTGGTTCGATACAAATCACTCTTCAATATATATTTGCAAATAATCGCAAACTTATTTTCCATGTCCATTTCAATTAGTATTGACCTTTTCACTTAACACTTGCAATCTATTTGCTTTTTCTGTTATCCTGAGTGAAAATCCGTGTTGCTGTCAATTCAAGTCAAGTGTTCACGCCAACTTCCATGAATGTTTTCGACATTTTGGCAATTAAAGTTTAGCACGTGGCGCCAAAAGGTATGCCAACAAAAAAAACCGCAAAACTCTAAGGTAAATAGAAAACACTAGCTGACCGTTGTCTCACAACTCGTTAACGCCAGACAAACATTTAGCCAGGCCAATACACACACCCACTGGCATGCAAAAAAAAATACACACATGTACTTGAATATACAAAACACGTTCTTCGTACCCTGGATGGTCAAAAAAGTGCGTCAAACACCGACAACAAATCTCGCCAAAAAACCAATCAAAAATATCACAAGAAGGCAACGCGATTTTCCGCAATTTCGAACTTTCCCTTTCGCCAGCCGAAACGTATCTGAAGCGGCGGCACAGTTCCCTGGCCAAAAAGAGCCGACGGATACGGAAACACGGAGGAGCCAGCTTCGGCAGCGGCATCCCGATTGCCTTCGTTTTGAGCCATCTTTTCCCGCCTTGTTACACAGAGAAAAATTTGTGGCTAAACAACACCATCTCAATTCAAAGGATAAGTTTAAAGAGTATAACTCTTTATGTTTATTTTGTGGTTAACTAAAGTAATATATATTTTTTTTGATTGTAAGCTATAATTTTCTCTCTGTGTATCATTCTGCCTCGTTCTCCTTTAGCTGCGCTTAATTAGAGTGTTTGTTGTTGGTTGTTTGGTTGGCTGTGTTGCTGATGCCGCTGTTACTGTTGCCGCTGTTTTGCCACTGATGGTGCCACATACCATTACCACTGCCACTGTGGCAGTGCCTGCTCCCCTAAGCACCTGCTTCAAGAGTGAAAGTTATATAATACAATGTCGTGGCACCGCCTGCCTGCCAGCCACTTCCCCTAAACAAAAAAATAAACAGAAATACACAAAACCCAGCACTTTAAACGCAAGTGCGTGCGAGATTTCAACACATGCCATTGGCAAGGATATTTGCCAGGACTCGCCCATTTTGAAGCCATTTCATGCAAGTTTCTAGTTTTGATTGCAGGTCCCTTCAGTCGAATCAAAATGGCAGAAAGGACTCCCCTGACAGGCTAGATTTTAATTGAAAGGCATTTCAAGCTCTATAACTCAAGCCTTGCTTTTGGTCTTTAAGATTTGCTGAACGCTACAAAATACACTAGTTTTTGCATTTAAGGATCTATAAAGAAGCTTTGAGGAACTGAAAACACTTGGGATTTGACACGTGCCATCCTGTTGTGAGTATATCATCCTGTCGCCATCCCAGTTGGAAATCAAAAAACATTTTCTCGTATATATATATATATTTGTTTTGTTTTTTTGTGTTTTTTTTTGGTTTGCTTTTTTTTGGTTTGAACAATAATTATTATTTTTGTAATCATTTATTATTCATCGTCATAATCATAATAATTTTTCTATACAAATACATTCAATAACAACAATTTATTTTTATTATTTTCGATTTTTTTCGGTTTTGTTTTTTGTTTTTGGTATTACTTTTACGTCATTGTTTAATTATTTTACAATTACCATAATTATGCCAGTTGTCATTCTTTATTATTATTATTTTTATTATATAGTATTACTATTTTTTATCATCGTCGACCACTTTGAAAATCGTTTTCATTTCATTATATTAGATAGTGTTGGCTGGGGGAATTACGTTCTTTTCGTTTTCTTTTTTAGATTTATTAGCTTAAGGACTATGAAATTTCGTTTTTTTTCAGTGTTCTATTTTTGGTTTTTTTAATCGCTTTTTTTATAATTTGTTGATTTTTCTATGTTTTCTTTATGTTTGATTTTTTTTAATAACAAGTACAGAAGATTTCAGTTTAGGTTTGTTAAAGTTTTAGCTGTCTCATGTGGGATTTTTAGATTTTAAGATTTCTTATTAGTTCCCACTAAATTACTATTATCTGGGGTCATGTTTTAAGTTTTTTTTTTTGGGTCACTAGGCAAACGTTTTTTCCTTCGGAATTACTATGGTTAAAGTATTCAATTTTTATGGAGATTTGGTTTTGTTTGCTAGCTTGTGTTTCTTTCCTTTAAATTAGTCTATGTTTTCATTTAATTAAATTAAATTTGACTTGACGCTATGAATTCTTTGTTTATAATATTTGGGTTTCCCTTCTTTCATTCGCAAATATTTCGTTTTCTGTGCATGTTTGCATGATATCAAATACAACACATTTGAAATTTTTCTTTTTTTTGGTTTTTGTTTTTTATGTTTTGTCACTTTTGTCCTGGCACTCAATTATGTAATTTCTTTTGGCCTAAAAAGAATTTTGTGTTTCCAATTTGGTTTTCGTTTTTAAAAATCTTTCTGTTTTTTTTTTTTACATATTTTAAATATTTTTTTATGTTTTTTTTTTGGTTTTGTTTTTTAAAAAATAATTGCTAGCATTCGCCGCCGTACATTCTGTTTTGCTGCAGCGGATTTTTGTATTAATTTGTATTTAATTTTTCATTATTTTTCTGGTTTGTGTGGCAGCGGCTAATCAATTACAAAAATTATTGTATAATTCGTGCTAATTGGTTATTGATTCGGATCTGGATTTGAATTAGAATTTCTCGTATGTGGATCGCATGAGATGGCAACTGTTAAGTGATGCTCACAATTAGCATAATAATCATCGATGGACACGATCTCTGGTTGGTTTACGATTTTACCCACATATGACTGACATACACACACCACAATTCAACTAGTTTCGCTATGCACAATGAAAATTGATTCGTTCCAGAAAAGTATTAGTATTCCCCACAGAAAAGGGTCTACATAGATCCATGCGGTGCATCATCCAACGCCTAAAAGTTAATTTATTTTTTTTTTTTTTTGGTTTTTCGTACATACTCTAAGTGCCTGGAATCGGTGGATCGGGAATCGGGATGGAGTGTTTGTGTTTATGGGAGGGTGAACCCTGTTGCGGATCCTACTCAGTCCCCCGAATCCCTAGCCCAACCGTGCCGGCCTACTCCAGTGTCCTTCTCTATTTATTGTTTACATTTAAATAAATTAACATTTAATTTATTATTATTTAGGCATCTATTCATGTTAACTATATTATATATATCAAAAAGTTTTACAAAAGTACACAATAATTCATAACAATTTGCATTCTATATGCGCGCAATTTGTGCCAGCGGCTCCACTGTTCCTCTGCTCCTCCTCCACCTCTTCTTCTTGTTCTATATTTCCGTTTCCGTTTTCCGCCATTGAAATTTTCACTGTTATGCTGTTGTTTATGTTGTTACATTTTTCATAATTTGTTGCTGTTGTTTTGTTGCCAACGATAACGGTCGTGTCATGTCTTCCCTAACTTTCTCCGACTTTCACGCCCTCTTTCTTTTCTTAGAAAATGTCTTGCATTCGCCTCAATGTACAGTACTACCTCGTTGACGAGCCGAGATAAGTGAAAAGTTTTTGGCCACGTTAACTCATAAATTGTATTGTATTTATTCGTTTTGTTGTTGCGAAAAAGAGTTGTTCACGTAGACTGGAGAAACTTTTTGGTGAATTATATGACAGAGAGTAATAGTAGAATTTATCAAAGAATATGAATCAGTTTTTGTAAGTATACCCTATGGATCGTGTTTGGTTGAGGCGAACTGCTATTTACATATAATTAGTTTCAGGGTAAAGGATGTTTAGAAAGAAGGACCTAAGGTTCTATATGAAGGCTGCTCTGTTCTGTTTCGTTATATCGTTTACATTTCTACTACAACATCTAACAAAATCCATACCATCTCGTCAACTATCTTCACCTAAAGTAATTTCGTCAGTTTTGCAAATGCAAAAATTTGTATTTTTTTAAAGAATTACATGTTTTTGGAAATGTTTCGGAAAGTTTTCCTAATAGACTTAAAAAGTTGTATAACTGGTAACTCTAACACTGCCTGCAGTGGGTTAAACCGTTCGATAATGAAGGATCTGAAGAGAAAAAAGTCGAACAAATGTCGAATACCAGAAACAAATAGAAACTGAAAGGGGGGTGTGGGTATGGAAATGGAGAGGCTGACAGGTGAACAGGTAAGAGGGGTAAGAAGCGCCAACTGAATCATATAGGAGGAGTGCTCAACGTTTGGTGTCCTTACAATCCTGTGAGAGTGAGTCGGTGAGTGACTGAATGGAGTGACTGTGCTCTATCAGAGGGTTCTCTCAAATTGTTTAGTACTTATTTTAATAGTTAATTAGTTGATACCAAATACGACTATTTATTTGAATATTTCTTAATTAATTAATTTTTCTGGTTTTGGTTTTCCTTTAGGCTTTTCTCGTTTGGTTTACTCATAGCTTTTCATTTGTTTTTTTTCGGTTCTAACTCTTCTCATTTGCAAGTTATGTACGATAAGTTGTTAAGACAATATATATTATATAAATATATATATTTCATATATATAATTAATATATATGTATATGCTACATAGAGTTCACTTTATTACAAAAAGTATTATTATTCATTGTTAGTATTTATATAGTAGGTATATTGTTGTTGTTGTTTCTGTTTCTATCGCCTCGTCATTAACTTATATTCCGGTTTACGTTGCACATTTTCTCATCGACTATATCTATCGTACATAAACAATATAATCATGTATATATTGTTTTTTTTTTCGAGTGTGTTGCATGGTTGTATATATGTGTATGTTATGTATGCTGTTAATGCTTTCATTTTTTCAATGTTTATTTTTTACCCGAATCCGAATATTTTCGCTAAAGTCCCTTCACTATGGCCGTCGATGAATCTTATAGATACGTTTTTTACTGTGCGCTTTATATACCCATCTCCACTCGCTTCTCGCTTTTCCGCATTTGGCTTTCGTTTACTTTTTTCGGTTTGGATTATACAAATATGAACTTTTTCTTCTTTTTTTTTTTTTGTTATTCGAACTAAATAAAGACATTGTTTAGACACTTTGCGGGCCACTTGAATTGATTTAATTGTCCTTAAATCACGTCCACCACGACTATAGTTCGTAATACATGTATGCCTACGTATTTTCATTTTTTTGTTTGTTTGTTAAACTAATTTAAGTAAAGTTCACGTTTCGCTTTTTTCTTTTAATTAATGTACTTTTTTTGAGAGGTGGTTGATACGCGGCCTATACGTCGTTAATGGCTGAAATTTATTTGTTTTCTTTTTGTTTAGACTCTCTAATCGTTTACAAATTAAGTCTAATTAATTTTGGATTTTATTTTTTTCTTCCGTTTTTCATTTTCATTTTCAGTTTTGTTTTTTTGGTTTTTCGTTTTAGCTAACCTAAACTTTTTTGTTCGCCAGTAATTAAATTAATAACTAGTTATATAATCCTTTCGATTTCCCCATTTTTTATATTATTTTTAGTTGTATCGTTTTTGGTTTTTTTATTAAATGTTTTTTTGGTTTTGTTGGTTTTTTTTTTTTGTTTGTATTTCCGTTATCGTTTATCTAAAAAACCTATTCTTGTGGCAGTTGCTTTTATTTTAATTAAATATTCATATTCTTTTTTCTAGTTGTAATAAAATATGCTATTTTGGTTTTGTTCAATAGAGATTTATAATTAATTTATGCTTGTTTTTATTTCATTTGAAAGAGGACCATAAATATTTAAGTGGTTTTCTGTTTTCGGTTTAAACTGTATATCCACGGATCTGTGTGTCTGTCTCTATGTGTCTTGTTTTTGGTTTTTGGTTTTTTGTTTTTCATTTATTTCCTTGCCACATCTATTATGTATCGTTTCTGATTTGGCTATTATTTATTTAATTTTTTATCGTGTCATATCCACTAAGGAGAGCGGTAGAGTTCTGACATCAAAGTGCCATTGTCATCGTGTATCTTTTGGTATTTATTTTGGTTTTTTCTTTGCCGCTTTGGCTGCATACGTTTTGCAGGCACTATAAGGCGCCACAACGCCACCACCACCATCTTCGCCACCAATCGTTTATGTTGTAGTTGTAGTAGTAGAAATAGCGATAGTTCCTAGTCCTAATGCATCCGCCCTCCCTCAGCACCCCCATGCCGCAGGCCCCCTTTGACCCGTTCGCATCCTTTGCCCCCCATCCCCATTGTATTTGGATGCCTGCTCGTACCGTTCGTACCGCTCGCACCTCTCGTACCGCTTGTACCGCTTGTACCGCTCGCACTGCTCTCATTGAATGTAAGTCTCTATAGTTAGGTATACGACTAGGTCTAGGCTCGCCTTTAAACTTACTTCGGCTACTGCTAAAATACCGTACTTTCCTATACGTTAGTTTATATGTATGCCATAGCCAGGCATTCGAGGCGAGAATTATCCTTCCTACTTCTGATCTCTCGGTGTGTGATTTCTTAGGTGCCGCCACCCGCGACCGCTCCTGCTTGCTCCTATTCCGGATCCGGATCCGGATCAGCTCCTGTTCGTGGCAGTTGTCCCCGCAGGTGACCGCGCGACTACGATTTCGTTGCACGCAACCGCCGCCCCACCACTGGCAACTCCACCACCGCTGCCGAGCCGCCCCACAGCTGCCGAGGAGGCCGAGCAGGGCGCTCAGCCACACCAGCAGCTGCGTGGGCGGCGCCGCCACCGGCTCGGTGCCGGAGGCATAGTACGGTATCGTGCAGCGGCTGGAGACAGAAGGAACGGCCGCACAATCCCCGGACAGCGGCTCCTGCGGCATGTCACCCTCGTCGTCGTAGTAGAAGACGCCGTCGTGCCGGGCGTAGTAGGGCAATCTTTGGAGCAGGGTCTCCACGGCATCCGGATCCCCGCCAGACTGGCTGACGTTCCGAAGAGCCAGGGCCACGCTCTTGGCCCGGGCATGCTCGCCGGGATGCGAGCTCAGGGAGAGCGTGATGTTGTGGATGCGACGTGTGGAGTTGGCCGCCGACGCGGGGTCGCCTCCTCCCGTCCTGGTTTGGGCAAAGTCCTGGCACACGGTGCAGATGCCATCCGCCGGTCCGTTGCAGTAGCTGTAGCAGCAGTCGTTGGGGCCGTAGCTTGACTTTTCCAGCTGTGCCCCTGTTTCGGGTATGTTTTGATCTGAAATGGAGATACATGTACAGAATGGACTAAGCATCCGGAGAAGGAGACTCACCTAGGCAGAGAAATGTCGGCTCGCCGGCATATTGGGTGGGCAGCGCGGGGGCGCGATCGGCGGGCAGCAGGTAGGGGCACTTTTGTTCCACGGTTTGGCAGACGCTCAGGCAGGGCCGGATACGGCGGCGCTTACGGAACTCTGCCTTGCGTGTTGATCTACAAGGATTAGGAAACAAGGTTAGTGAAAGAAAATACAATTATTTAGGAATAGGAATCGAACCTCTTCTGTAGTTTTGATATCACTGGATCCGTGGCTCTGGGATCCGAATTATTGGCAGTCGATATGAAATTATTGGATTGTTGTTTGGCCACAGCTTCCGTATCTGTATCTGTGTCCGTGTCCGTGTCCGTCTCGCCCTCCATCTCAATATCGGATGTGGACTCGGAATCGGACTCGGTACCAACATCTGGTTGTGGTTCATCGGCATCCTCGCCACCGTCCTCATCCTCAACGCCTGGCAACTTGGCCAGGCCAACAACATCGTAGAAGGTCTGAGCCAAGTCCCTGCCTATCGCATCCTCGTCGCTGCGGTCATTGTCCTTGTTCGAGTTACTGTTGCCGTTCGCGTTCGAGCTCTTGTCATGCTTCTGATTAATCTGACGCTCGTTCATGTTATTGCCGTTATTTGATTTATTGTTATTGCTGATTAATTTCAGAGATTTATGCTTGATTCCACCGGCTGCAGTGCTTCGCGCCGAACGCTTGCTCTTGCCGGCCATCGATGTTGCCGCCGTGCTGGCAGCTGCCGCCGCTTTTGCTTTTGCCTTGGCTGCTGCCGATTTGCTGGCAGCCTCGTCGGCGGTCTTAACATCCTTCGGTTCGGCGAAATATGGCACCAGTGTGCTGCAGACCCACCGACGATATGCCTCCTGCAAAAACACACAAACACATTCATATAATAATACATATATCAGCACAGAAATCCCTGGCCTGCATTTACGTTTAATTCATTGGCTATCCTTTGTGTTGTGAAAATTTAATTGAAATGGCTGAGTTACAGTGTGCAATTAGCAGACTGCCTGATGCTTATCGATATGCTTTATTTTATTGCTGAAGCAATCTGCTGGGATATTATTTAAACAATGTGCATCCTCATAAGCTCCAGGACTCTCGTGTATTTATGCCTTTCATTCCAAAACTAGACTATACACACTCTACATATTAATTTTGAATCCCATCTATCTGCCCCATCTATTCTGCCACGCCCCATCTATCCATATTTTGCCAACAACTCTTGCCACCTGCCACCTGCCACCTGCCTCATGCCTCCTGCCGCCAAGTGGCGGCTTTTTCATTTGGCAGCCAATTTGTTGCCAGGTTGGAAAAATATTTTTGCTTATCCTTTGCTTCTGTTGATTTTTGTTGTTTGTTGCTTTTTGCTGGCTGCTACTGCTATTATTGTTGTTGCTGTTGTGATTTTCTATTCTGACAGAACTATTGGAGTAGTTTGCTTTCAAAAAAAAAGCTGGCCCTCCCTGCCCTATACCTCCCTGCCACCGTCATAACTGTTGGTCAAAAGCAAATACCAAACAAACAACTCTTCGGCTAGCCTGGCCAGAGAATTTTCCGTTTTTAGGTGAAATTTTTGCTATTTGCCAACATTTCTGTGGCTATCAATGTGTCGGCACTGCCATTACATTTGCCTGCAAGGACCAAATGGAATTTTAGGTTATGCCAGGAAGAGAAGAGAGTTCTCTCTGTGGGAAAAATAGCATATCCAGGAAAGTCATTGGATTTTTGTTTATGCATATAAACACGACACGACAGACTATTTCCATACGGATATTCTACATAGATTTCAGGTCAAGAGTGAACGGCAGGGGTGTCCTTCTCAATATTTATCCAGACTCTTGATTGCCTCGAGATTAAGTGCAACAAAGTGGACTGCATTGATTGTCTAAATCAATTATGTTCGTGTAAACTAAAGCACTTCTGCAACACAACTACACAACTGCAAACAAGTCAAATGCACAGCAGAACACTAATTAAATTAACCCCCAAAACACTGACCCAACGGCCAAATACAATTTTGAATTTTGCGCCTAATATGCCTTGGGTTCTAATAACCGCAAAAGCGTGCACCGCATTCATAAATCACGTATACGCACCGTTGCCCTGCGGCCTGCAATGCAACTGGCAGTTGTGCTAATTGTTTGTGCCTGGTGTGCTTTCTGTCACTGCTGGTGACGGTGTTTGCGGTTGAAAAACAGCAATCTAAAATATTCCACCTCTCTCCTGAATTTATCTCAGACAGGACACTCATTTTTTTGTTGTTGTTAGTGGGAATAGCAATTCAATCATCTGACTCAGAAGTGCGTTACCCTTCGCAGAGAATTGTGAGTAGTTCATCACGAACTATCCACATTTTGTTTTGGCCATGAAAGACAACGACCCCATAAACTCAGCGAGTGTCTGACATTAAACCGCAAACGCACACACACTCTATAGCCAAAATATATATATATTTACTTGGATTATATAGACATGTGGCTGAGGTGGGGTGGCAGTTGCTGTGGTTACTCCGAGGGCTTCTGGCCCGTGTAGGCGGGTCTGTCGCCATCTCTTGACTTGCTAAATTATTATTTAATTACAAAAAAGTATTTTTCCTTAATGGGACACCGCCGGCGTGTAGTGGGTGGATGGATGGACGTGGAAGCACGTGGAAGAGAACTTGAGCCTGTTACATACATATCCTTCGTCCTCTCATATCTGTGTGTTGCACACACTAAATGAATTCTGACACCAAAAAAAAAGGGGGCGAAAAAAAAAACTACTCAAGAAATGCAACTCAATTAGAGGCTGCGACGTTGCAAGGTGCGGGTGCAAAGTTAATTTGATGAGGGCTGGTGCTCCTCCTTTTTGCCGCAAAGATCCAAGGGAAACAGTGACAAAAAAATCAATCCCAGCTGTTGAAGGAAGGTGGGCGGCAGAAGTGGCAAGTGGATTTAAACTCATATACCCGGCAGCCGTATGAAATCCATTTAAGCCTGCCTTCATTTAAATGCGGGGCGCAAAAGTCATTCCGCACGCAAAATCCCGATTTTCGTCCTTTTCGACCATTACGCCGACATGACACCATCAGCATGCAGCCTGCAGCGTAATCGGAGTGTGGCAAAGGCGGCATGGGGCAAGGAGGCGACAGAAGGAGGCCAGTAGGCGGACACACATGCGGGCAGTAAATAAGCCGGAGTTATGCCTGCCCATCGATGTGTGACCTTCGCGCTTCGTCCCAGTTCCTGTCACCGAGATTGGCCTTCTGGCTGTCCACGGATGAAACGGCTGGAAGCTCGGGGATGTGGGGGTGTGGGGATGAGGGAGGGCTGCCAAAGACTGCCGGGATGTGGTATGCGGCATGGCGGACTAGCGGAGTGGCGAAGTGGGTTTGCGGCTTCAAATTTTGGAAACTCAATATGCGATAATGAGTGGCCATGTTCGTATGTGTTTGCGAGTGTTTTGTGCGCAAATCCGATGAGCAGGGATTTAATTGGAAATTCAGATTATGGAATGAAATTCTAATTTCATATATTTGTGCCAAACCGGGCTTTACAGCCAAACCATAAGATATCCATAAGAATAATGTTTATGGGGCTTTGGCCAACAACCCAACCAACCAAAAAATGAGAGAGAAATATTTAACTTACTTGCCTTTATCGTAAACATTAATAGCCAAGCCAAGGGTTAAAGGCCATCAATCGAGACAGCAGTTGGAGGGGGGGCTGGGGTCAGGATGTCAGTGGGTTCAGAGGGTCGGTCACCAAAACGACAACAAAGAAAGGAGCAACCTTACTTACTGCCACTGACCATCAGTCAGTCAATGACCGTTTCATATGGCAAATAATTGAATTTTTGTTTTCTTCAAAAAAAAAAAAAGAAAGCTAGAAATTTTCTTTTTATATTTGCCAAACGGAGCAGACATTGCGTGTGGGTTGATTTACGAGTTTTCAAATGGCTGCCGTTGCCGTTGCCATTGCCATTGGCATTGCTATTGGCCATAGTCGTCGGGGTTTTTACTATCATAATTTCATAAGCCGTTGAACCAAAGAAATAAAGAAAACATTTCCCAGGCACTGGGGCTAATAAAACGCCGCAAAATAATAAATGTATAAATAAACCACAGTGAGTGAACCAAACATGCCGAAAATTATCCTTGCGAGAGTGTTGTTTTTCTTTTCAAGAAGCTTAAAATATAACTGATATACTCCCACTCTATAATGCCCAATTAATATCCTTAGAAACAAATAGGAGGGATGGATGGCAGGGAAACTCACAAACTCCATTGCTATTTACGATGACCAGCAAATGGGAACAACTTTGTTTGTCCTTGCATATTGTTTGCGTTATCGATTCCCCACCACTCGCCGCAAGTCAATCCACAATTCGATTGGCTCGGTTGAGTGTATCAAAGTTTATGCTCCTGCATTGGCCTTCAAATTCATTCGCAAACTGGCTGAGACATAAATATTTTATGGCATTCTAAGCGCACTCGTGTGCCACCGCTAGTTGCAGACATTCGAGTGGGTTGTGTGTGTGTGTGTGAGTGTGTGGAGGATACCCAACATTCAGCATTAATACACTTTCATTTTGGGGTTCTGTTTTCTGTTATAAGGTATGTGTATATTTTTCAGGGGTCCAGGTCCTAGACGAGGTCCTGCTTCTGGTCCTGGTCAGTGTGTTATGAAAACGTGACTGAATTTGGCAAAGATTTGCGCAGCACACAAAATACCATGCCATGGACTATGTAATGTAATTGATATGGCACACTCACACTCACACACACACCCTCACAATCTTGTGTATGTGTAGTGAGTCCTTTTTCGTAGAGGCATACGCTAGGCTCGTATGTATGCAAATAAGTTATGATTTGATTTGTACCATTGCAGTAAATTTATGAGTAGTAAGTGCCGGGCATTACAGCTGCCTCGTCTTTTTCGATTCTGGTTCGGTTCGGTGTTTGGTAGCAATCCTGGTGGCAGGACCTACCCTTCTGATATCCTGACTGCTAGCTGCTGTTGTTGCCAATTTGCATAATGGCTCACGAAACGATGCGTGCGCCAGTGTTTGTGTTTCTGTTTGCGATTCGAGCTTGGCGTGGCCCACATAAGCGTGCTACAGATTTTTTACACTCACATGTATGTGCAAGAATTTAAAGCACATTTATTAAAATTCACTCCATAAATAACAATCAACGATGATTTTTACAACCATTAAATGGAAATTTCCCCCTCGGTTATTGTTTCGCCAAAGTAAATACTTCAATTATGTCGAGCTTCAATAATAATAAAATACTTTTTCAAGGAATTGTATCAATTGATGTTGTTTTTTTGCCAAACAGACAATATGCTTCTTTTGGACCATTAAGTATTTTATTTATTAAAGAATATTACAGTATATTTAACCATAAAAACAAACTATAAAGGTCCTTTACCTGCAAACTAATTATAATTAGCTAGGATTGCTTTTAAAAAATAGGGTGCTAAAATAACGAACTTTGCCAGATAACTTGGTGGGCTTCCTCGTGTGTGTGTGTAAGGATATGTGTCTCTGTATGGGTGTGTGCTTATTTTGTTAACCAGCTCAAAGTGCCCTGGCCACAATCGCAGTTGCAACGCCAACGCCAACGCACTTGACCAACTGTGGCACGTGTTGTCGCATTGGCTCTGGCAATAAGCACAGCGTGCACAGCCACGCCCCCCAAACCACCTACCCTTGTACAGCCCTGGTACTGGCAGTACTGGTAGTAGTATACCCCCTTAAGTAATGCTTCTGATGTTGGTCCAAGGATAAACTTTTATTTTCCATCCATTTTGCGAGTGTGTCTGTGGGCGAGTGAGAGTGTGGCTCGCTTGGCTCTGCTTTCTTTCGCAGCAGT